CAGGACGACCGGGCCTGGTGAAAAATTTGATATTCCGAAGTCGCCCAAACAAGAAAATGCAAAATGGCTCCATAGCGCCCCCTAAGGTGAAAATTCACACTATTGACTGTCACGCCTGTACGCTTTGTCAAAATGACACAAAAATTGACACACACATGTATCTCAATAAGATCTACAAAAAAGTCAGTGCGCGCGTATCTGTCAAATGTACGGTTAAAGGGTTATTTCGCATTTTTTGCCGATCCGCACACATTGGAATTTCGCTAACTCCTCCGAAGGCTTTCGTTCCACCAGCACGACATTTGCTCAGGCCAATCTACACCCCATGGCCATTAAAAGTTATTCAAATCATGACGCTGCACCCCACGGTTTAGGTTCTAGGGGGCGCCAAAGATAACCCTAAGATCCACATATTTCAAAGTCTTATAACTTTTTATTTTTGCCCTCACTGGCCTCCAAGTTTTCTAGGATGATGCAATGTCCAGCCATCAACACATTTGTGAAGGAATTTTTACTCCCCAAAAGAGCGCCCCCCCATGGCAGGAGAAAAAAGTCAATTTTTTCTTGTCCCCTAAGGTGAAAATACACATTGTTGAGTGTAACACCTGTACGCCTTTGCAAAATGACACAAAAATTGACACACACATGTATCTCAATAAGATCTACGAAAAAGTCAATGCGCGCGTATCTGTCAAATGTACGGTTAAAGGGTTATTCCGCATTTTTTGCCGATCCACACACATTGGAATTTCGCTAACTCCTCCGAAGGCTTTTGTTCCACCGGCACCACATTTGCTCAGGCCAATCTACACCCCATGGCCATTAAAAGTTATTCAAATCATGACGCTGCACCCCACGGTTTAGGTTCTAGGGGGCGCCAAAGATAACCCTAAAATCCACATATTTAAAAGTCTTATAACTTTTTATTTTTGTCCTCACTGGCCTCCAAGTTTTCTAGGATGATGCAATGTCCAGCCATCAACACATTTGTGAAGGAATTTTTACTCCCCAAAAGAGCGCCCCCCCATGGCAGGAGAAAAAAGTCAATTTTTTCTTGTCCCCTAAGGTGGAAATTCACACTATTGACTGTCACGCCTGTACGCTTTATCATATTGACACAAAAATTGACACACATATGTATCTCAATAAGATCTACAAAAAAGTCAATGCGCACGTATCTGTCTAATGTACGGTTAAAGGGCTATTTTGCATTTTTTGCCGATTAGCACACATTGGAATGTGGCTAACTCCTCCTAAGGCTTTCGTCCCACTGACACCAAATTTGCTCAGGCCAATCTACACCCCATGGCCATTCAAAGTTGTAAAAATCATGACGCTGCACCCCACGGTTTACGTTCTAGGGGGCGCCAAAGATGACCCAAATATCCACATTCTTAAAAGAATCCACATCCCCCTCCCCCCCCCATCCTCCATCCCCCATCCCCCATCCCCCATGGCAGGAGAAACAGTCAAGTTTTTCCTGCCCATCACTCAATGGCTCAATCGCATCGCTCTCCCGGCAACACCGTAACGAGGAGCAACTTGCCGTTTGGATATATCCTAGCTGTATTTGTGCCCTCACTCATGGTCCAGACTTTTTTCAAATAGGACATGTAGTTTGTCTGCAGCGAGTGTTTTGGTAGAAACTGCGCCTCCCATTCATTATAATGGGAAATGACCATAGACAAGTGCGCACACCATCTTTGGACCTTGAGTGTGACGCGATCGGGAGGGGGAGGCGGTCGCGCTGGGGGCAGCGCGACGCGGCTCGGGCCCGACAGTGCCCCACCGGGGCCCTAGTTAGGGCCCGAGCGTAGCTGCTAAGCAGCTGCGAGAGCCCTATTATTCCCCAAGTGGTTTTTCTTTGTTTCTTTCTTTCTTCTTTTTCCTCCCCTTTGAACTGTAAAATGGCCCACTTCCCACTGGCGAAAACTCATGAAATTTGGCAGGATGATCGGGCCTGGTGAAAAATTTGATATTCCGAAGTCGCCCAAACAAGAAAATGCAAAATGGCTCCATAGCGCCCCCTAAGGTGAAAATTCACACTATTGACTGTCACGCCTTTACGCTTTGTCAAAATGACACAAAATTTGACACACACATGTATCTCAATAAGATCTACGAAAAAGTCAGTGCGCGCGTATCTGTCAAATGTACGGTTAAAGGGTTATTCCGCATTTTTTGCTGATCCGCACACATTGGAATTTCGCTAACTCCTCCTAAGGCTGGCGTTCCACCGGCACCACATTTGCTCAGGCCAATCTACACCCCATGGCCATAAAAAGTTATTCAAATCATGACGCTGCACCCCACGGTTTAGGTTCTAGGGGGCGCCAAAGATAACCCTAAAATCCACATATTTCAAAGTCTTATAACTTTTTATTTTTGTCCTCACTGGCCTCCAAGTTTTCTAGGATGATGCAATGTCCAGCCATCAACACATTTGTGAAGGAATTTTTACTCCCCAAAAGAGCGCCCCCCCATGGCAGGAGAAAAAAGTCAATTTTTTCTTGTCCCGTAAGGTGAAAATTCACATTGTTGAGTGTGACACCTGTACGCTTTGTCATATTGACACAAAATTTGACAATCACGTGCATCTCAATAAGATCTACGAAAAGGTCAATGGGTGCGTATCTGTCAAATGTATGGTTAGAGGGCTATTTTGCATTTTTTGCCGATTCGCACACATTGGAATGTGGCTAACTCCTCCTAAGGCTTTCGTCCCACTGAAACCAAATTTGCTCAGGCCAATCTACACCCCATGGCCATTCAAAGTTGTAAAAATCATGACGCTGCACCCCACGGTTTACGTTCTAGGGGGCGCCAAAGATGACCAAAAAATCCACATTCTTAAAAGAATCCACATCCCCCCCCCCCCCATGGCAGGAAAAAAGTCAAGTTTTTCCTGCCCATCGCTCAATGGCTCAATCGCATCGCTCTCCAGGCAACACCGTAACGAGGAGCAACCTGCCATTTGGATATATCCCAGCTGTGTTTGTGCCCTCACTCATGGTCCAGACTTTTTTCAAATAGGACATGAAGTTTGTCTGCAGCGAGTGTTTTGGTAGAAACTGCGCCTCCCATTCATTATAATGGGAAATGACCACAGACAAGTGCGCACACAATCTTTGGACCTTGAGTGTGACGCGATCGGGAGGGGGAGGCGGTCGCGCTGGGGGCGGCGCAACGCGGCTCGGGCCCGACAGTGCCCCAACGGGGTCCTAGTCTTTGTTTCTTTCTTTCTTCTTTTTCCTCCCCTTTGAACTGGAAAATGGCCCACTTCCCACTGGCGAAAACTCATGAAATTTGGCAGGATGACCGGGCCTGGTGAAAAATTTGATATTCCGAAGTCGCCCAAACAAGAAAATGCAAAATGGCTCCATAGCGCCCCCTAAGGTGAAAATTCACACTATTGACTGTCACGCCTTTACGCTTTGTCATATTGACACAAAAATTGACACACACATGTATCTCAATAAGATCTACAAAAAAGTCAGTGCGGGCGTATCTGTCAAATGTACGGTTAAAGGGTTATTCCGCATTTTTTGCCGATCCGCACACATTGGAATTTCGCTAACTCCTCCGAAGGCTTTCGTTCCACCGGCACCACATTTGCTCAGGCCAATCTACACCCCATGGCCATTAAAAGTTATTCAAATCATGACGCTGCACCCCACGGTTTAGGTTCTAGGGGGCGCCAAAGATAACCCTAAAATCCACATATTTAAAAGTCTTATAACTTTTTATTTTTGCCCTCACTGGCCTCCAAGTTTTCTAGGATGATGCAATGTCCAGCCATCAACACATTTGTGAAGGAATTTTTAATCCCCAAAAGAGCGCCCCCCCATGGCAGGAGAAAAAAGTCCATTTTTTCTTGTCCCCTAAGGTGAAAATACACATTGTTGAGTGTCACGCCTGTACGCTTTGTCATATTGACACAAAATTTGACACACACATGTATCTCAATAAGATCTACGAAAAAGTCAATGCGCGCGTATCTGTCAAATGTACGGTTAAAGGGTTATTCCGCATTATTTGCTGATCCGCACACATTGGAATTTCGCTAACTCCTCCTAAGGCTGGCGTTCCACCGGCACCACATTTGCTCAGGCCAATCTACACCCCATGGCCATTAAAAGTTATTCAAATCATGACGCTGCACCCCACGGTTTAGGTTCTAGGGGGCGCCAAAGATAACCCTAAAATCCACATATTTCAAAGTCTTATAACTTTTTATTTTTGCCCTCACTGGCCTCCAAGTTTTCTAGGATGATGCAATGTCCAGCCATCAACACATTTGTGAAGGAATTTTTAATCCCCAAAAGAGCGCCCCCCCATGGCAGGAGAAAAAAGTCAATTTTTTCTTGTCCCATAAGATGAAAAAACACATTGTTGACTGTCATACCTGTACGCTTTGTCATATTGACACAAAATTTGACAATCACATGTATCTCAATAAGATCTACGAAAAAGTCAATGCGCGCGTATCTGTAAAATGTACGGTTAAAGGGCTATTTTGCATTTTTTGCCGATTCGCACACATTGGAATGTGGCTAACTCCTCCTAAGGCTTTCGTCCCACTGACACCAAATTTGCTCAGGCCAATCTACACCCCATGGCCATTCAAAGTTGTAAAAATCATGACGCTGCACCCCACGGTTTACGTTCTAGGGGGCGCCAAAGATGACCCAAATATCCACATTCTTAAAAGAATCCACATCCCCCCCCCCCCCATCCCCCAACCCCCATGGCAGGAGAAACAGTCAAGTTTTTCCTGCCCATCGCTCAATGGCTCAATCGCATCACTCTCCCGGCAACACCGTAACGAGGAGCAACTTGCCGTTTGGATATATCCTAGCTGTGTTTGTGCCCTCACTCATGGTCCAGACTTTTTTCAAATAGGACATGTAGTTTGTCTGCAGCGAGTGTTTTGGTAGAAACTGCGCCTCCCATTCATTATAATGGGAAATGACCACAGACAAGTGCGCACACCATCTTTGGACCTTGAGTGTGACGCGATCGGGAGGGGGAGGCGGTCGCGCTGGGGGCGGCTCGACGCGGCTCGGGCCCGACAGTGCCCCACCGGGGCCCTAGTCTTTGTTTCTTTCTTTCTTAGGGCCCGAGCGTAGCTGCTAAGCAGCTGCGAGAGCCCTATTATTCCCCAAGTGGTTTTTCTTTGTTTCTTTCTTTCTTCTTTTTCCTCCCCTTTGAACTGGAAAATGGCCCACTTCCCACTGGCGAAAACTCATGAAATTTGGCAGGACGACCGGGCCTGGTGAAAAATTTGATATTCCGAAGTCGCCCAAATAAGAAAATGCAAAATGGCTCCATAGCGCCCCCTAAGGTGAAAATTCACACTATTGACTGTCACGCCTGTACGCTTTGTCAAAATGACACAAAAATTGACACACACATGTATCTCAATAAGATCTACAAAAAAGTCAGTGCGGGCGTATCTGTCAAATGTACGGTTAAAGGGTTATTTCGCATTTTTTCCGATCCGCACACATTGGAATTTCGCTAACTCCTCCGAAGGCTTTCGTTCCACCGGCACCACATTTGCTCAGGCCAATCTACACCCCATGGCCATTAAAAGTTATTCAAATCATGACGCTGCACCCCACGGTTTAGGTTCTAGGGGGCGCCAAAGATAACCCTAAAATCCACATATTTAAAAGTCTTATAACTTTTTATTTTTGCCCTCACTGGCCTCCAAGTTTTCTAGGATGATGCAATGTCCAGCCATCAACACATTTGTGAAGGAATTTTTACTCCCCAAAAGAGTGCCCCCCCATGGCAGGAGAAAAAAGTCCATTTTTTCTTGTCCCCTAAGGTGAAAATTCACACTATTGACTGTCACGCCTGTACGCTTTGTCAAAATGACACAAAAATTGACACACACATGTATCTCAATAAGATCTACAAAAAAGTCCATGCGCGCGTATCTGTCTAATGTACGGTTAAAGGGTTATTTCGCATTTTTTGCCGATCCGCACACATTGGAATTTCGCTAACTCCTCCGAAGGCTTTCGTTCCACCGGCACCACATTTGCTCAGGCCAATCTACACCCCATGGCCATTAAAAGTTATTCAAATCATGACGCTGCACCCCACGGTTTACGTTCTAGGGGGCGCCAAAGATAACCCAAAAATCCACATTTTTAAAAGTCTTATAACTTTTTATTTTTGTCCTCACTGGCCTCCAAGTTTTCTAGGATGATGTAATGTCCAGCCATCAACACATTTGTGAAGGAATTTTTACTCCCCAAAAGAGCGCCCCCCCATGGCAGGAGAAAAAAGTCCATTTTTTCTTGTCCCCTAAGGTGAAAATACACATTGTTGACTGTCACGCCTGTACGCTTTGGCAAAATGACACAAAAATTGACAATCATGTGTATCTCAATTAGATCTACGAAAAAGTCAAAGAGCGCGTATCTGTATAATGTACGGTAAAAGGGCTATTTTGCATTTTTTGCCGATTCGCACACATTGGAATTTCGCTAACTCCTCCTAAGGCTTTCGTCCCACTGACACCAAATTTGCTCAGGCCAATCTACACTCCATGGCCATTCAAAGTTGTAAAAATCATGACGCTGCACCCCACGGTTTACGTTTTAGGGGGCGCCAAAGATGACCCAAATATACATTACAGTAGACAAAGTAGTTTTGCCCACTGAGTGGCGCCAGAGGGACTTGTCTGTGGAGTCTGTGAGTCACTTTTGGCCGTTTTTGACTACTTTAGATTTTACCTTTATATTTCCTCTTACAAAATTTTTACCTTGCCTTGCCTGGTATCATTTTTTTCAGCACAACCTCACCTGTGTCAATTTACAGTTATTTTATCATTTTGACATACTATATTTACACATTGGACCCAAATTCACACACAAAACATAAAATCCGAGTGGAAAAAAGTAACGTTTTTACTGTGAAAACCACAAATATGTGTGATGAACTGTTTTTAAAACTTAAACTTCAAATAAAAATTGTAAACTTCAAAACATATGCAAATTTTTAACAAAGAACATAGTAATTTACCTCTATTGACATCAAAATGCAGGCAATGGCCCAGGTGTTCTTTGTAAAATTATTTACAAAACACTGTATAGTCTCACAAATGTCACTTTTTATTTATGCCACTACAAAAAAACATGATGTAAATGATGCATGATGTAAAACATGATGTAAAAAACTTGTGTAGATCCTCCTCTATGTTAGTCCATGTGTAATTTTTCCATAATTCTTTGTTTTTTGCAGCATTTTTGTTAGTGTAACTGCAGATTGTGCTGACAGTGTCTATGGCAAAAAAAAAAAAAAAAAAACTGAAAATGCCTCAACATGAACCCCTGGTGGTCTCTGAGGGTGAAACCTGCTAACTGCTGCAGCTCTGTCAGCTTCAGTCTCCCATGCAGAGCTCGGAGCGCATGTGTGGCTCTGCACCCTTAGCAGCGTTGCTAACTCCTCAGTAAGGAAAGCCTGCTTCATGTCAGAGTCTCTAAACTCCAGAAGAAGTCGATAAAAGTCACTTTCTTTCTAAAAAAAAGTCGTTAGGGGGTCTGAAAAGTCATTGAATCTAACAACAAAGTCGCTAGGTTTGCAACTACGTGTCCCAGACTGCATCCCTGCTGAGAGTCCCTCCCTCCCTTCTCATATTGCAGGAAGAACGTAAGTTCCCGCCCCTTGTCAATCAGTCACCATATAATTTTGGATTGGTTGTTGTGGTGAAGTTTTCCACCAATAGGAGAGATGTTGTGGTGTGTATTTTTTTTCCTTTGGCAAGCCTTTTCCGCCTGTAAGACCTGTCGCTAATGTCTGCATGCTATGTTTTCCTGTCTCATACAGCGCGATCGAGCGCCGAACGTGATCAAAATAAGCAGAAAACAAGTATCGCGGACATAATTTATCATAACTCTGGTTTTATTTGGCCTATCAACACAATTTAAAAACTGGTATATAGGTTGAGGTCCTCACTTTTGAGATAAATTGAAACGGAGAGTCAACGAGGCTCCGTCTTGCAGCTACATCCGGTTAAATATGTCATGTGACTTGAACGCACACACACACACACACACACAGACACACACACACACGCACACACACACACTCAGAGTCTGGTTTGTAGCACCTGCAAAAACATGCTATTTACATATTTGACAAGAATGCAGAGGCTCCTTTTGCCCCTGAAAAAAATCAAATTTCAAACACAACTTGACTGGTCATTTCTCCAAAAGACAACCATGAAGCTCCATCCAAACCTGAAGCAGGCAGTTGGTGCATGTGTACAGTAACCTGAGGGGAGTGAGGTGACTGCTTCTGAGGAGAACATGAGCAGTGAAGATTTACCTTAGAGCTAGAACAGAGACGTGCACATGATTATACAGGGGCAGGGGCTCAAGTTTTTTCCAGTCGTTTATACAATTTGGAAATTAATGTGAAATTAAAAAACAAAGTATTAATAGAAAGGTAATGACTGTCCTGTGTAGGTGACAGTGATATCCAATAGGCTAGGCACTCACGAGGCTGGCTGTGGCAAGTGTAAGTGAAAGCAACACGCACTGGCAGGAAGAACAGCAAACGCCGATGAAGGAAAAGGGTCTTTGCAGTGATGGGCGTTACCAAAGAGGGCGATGGCCAGAGGACACAAATGGGACGGGGAGGCAGCGCGTTGGGGGGGGGACGCGACACAGCTCGGGCCCGCCAGTGCCCCAACGGGGTCCTAGTACTTTTTTTGTTGTTGTTGTAACTAACTCCAAAAGGTCTGAAACTTTTTCCTACAAAGGTTGTGGACAGTGATTTTAACCCTAACGCCAAAAACCTTAAACCTTACCCTAGCCCCATAACCTGATACCCGGGTATTACCTTCAGGAAGCCCGAACACCCCAAACATTTTTTTTTTATTTTTCGTTTTTTTTTAGGTCTAACTAACTCCAAAAGGTTGGAAAAGAGTTCCTACAAAGGTTTTGGACAGTGATTTGAACCCTAACGCCAAAAACCTTAAACCTTACCCTAGCCCCATAACCTGATACCCGGGTATTACCTTCAGGAAGCCCGAACACCCCAAACATTTTTTTTTTATTTTTCGTTTTTTTTTAGGTCTAACTAACTCCAAAAGGTTGGAAAAGAGTTCCTACAAAGGTTTTGGACAGTGATTTTAACCCTAACGCCAAAAACCTTACCCTAGCCCCATTACCTAATACCCGGGTGTTACCTTCAGGAAGCCCGAAAACCCCAAACATTTTTTTTTTGTAATTTATTTATTTTTGGTCTAACTAACTCCAAAAGGTTGGAAAAGAGTTCCTACAAAGGTTTTGGACAGTGATTTTAACCCTGACACCAAAAACCTTAAACCTTTCCAAAGCCCCATAACCTAATACCTGGGTATTACCTTCAGGAAGCCCGAACACCCCAAATATTTTTTTTTCATTTTACTTTTTTTTTGTTGTTGTAACTAACTCCAAAAGGTCTGAAACTTTTTCCTACAAAGGTTGTGGACAGTGATTTTAACCCTTACGCCAAAAACCTTAAACCTTACCCTAGCCCCATAACCTAATACCCGGGTGTTACCTTCAGGAAGCCCGATCACCCCAAACATTTTTTTTTCATTTTTCGTTTTTTTTAGGTCTAACTAACTCCAAAAGGTTGGAAAAGAGTTCCTACAAAGGTTTTGGACAGTGATTTTAACCATAATGCCAAAAACCTTAAACCTTACCAAAGCCCCATAACCTAATACCTGGGTATTACCTTCAGGAAGCCCGAACACCCCAAATATTTTTTTTTCATTTTACAATTTTTTTTTTTGGTTTAACTAACTCCAAAAGGTTGGAAAGAAGTTCCTACAAAGGTTTTGGACAGTGATTTTAACCCTAACGCCAAAAACTTAAACCTTACCCTAGCCCCAAAACCTAATACCCGGGTGTTACCTTCAGAAAGCCCGAAAACCCCAAATATTTTTTTTTTCATTTTTCATTTTTTTTCGGGTCTAACTCCAAAAGGTTGGAAAAGAGTTCCTACAAAGGTTTTGGACAGTGATTTTAACCCTTATGCCAAAAACCTGAAACCTTTCACTAGCCCCATAACCTAATACCCGGGTGTTACCTTCAGAAAGCCCGAAAACCCCAAATATTTTTTTTTTCATTTTTCATTTTTTTCTGGTCTAACTAACTCCAAAAGGTTGGAAAAGAGTTCCTACAAAGGTTTTGGACAGTGATTTTAACCCTAACGCCAAAATCCTTAAACCTTTCACTAGCCCCATAACCTAATACCCGGGTATTACCTTCAGGAAGCCCGAACACCCCAAATATTTCTTTTTCATTTTACAATTTTTTTTGGTGTAACTAACTCCAAAAGGTTGGAAAAGAGTTCCTACAAAGGTTTTGGACAGTAATTTGAACCCTAACGCCAAAAACCTTACCCTAGCCCCATAACCTAATACCCGGGTATTACCTTCAGGAAGACCGAACACCCCAAATATTTTTTTTTCATTTTTTGTTTTATTTTGGTCTAACTAACTCCAAAACGTTGGAAAAGAGTTCCTACAAAGGTTTTGGACAGTGATTTTAACCCTAACGCCAAAAACCTTAAACCTTACACTAGCCCCATAACCTAATACCCGGGTATTACCTTCAAGAAGCCCGATCACCCCAAACATTTTTTTTTTTCATTTTTCGTTTTTTTGTAGGTCTAACTAACTCCAAAAGGTTGGAAAAGAGTTCCTACAAAGGTTTTGGACAGTGATTTTAACCATAATGCCAAAAACCTTAAACCTTACCAAAGCCCCATAACCTAATACCTGGGTATTACCTTCAGGAAGCCCGAACACCCCAAATATTTCTTTTTCATTTTACAATTTTTTTTTTGGTTTAACTAACTCCAAAAGGTTGGAAAGAAGTTCCTACAAAGGTTTTGGACAGTGATTTTAACCCTAACGCCAAAAAACTTAAACCTTACCCTAGCCCCAAAACCTAATACCCGGGTATTACCTTCAGGAAGCCAGAACACCCCAAATATTTCTTTTTCATTTTACAATTTTTTTTTTGGTGTAACTAACTCCAAAAGGTTGGAAAAGAGTTCCTCCAAAGGTTTTGGACAGTGATTTTAAACCTAACGCCAAAAACCTTAAACCTGACCCTAGCCTGATTACCCTGATACCTGGGTATTACCTTCAGGAAGACCGAACACCCCAAATATTTTTTTTTTATTTTTTGTTTTATTTTGGTCGAACTAACTCCAAAAGGTTGGAAAAGAGTTCCTACAAAGGTTTTGGACAGGGATTTTAACCCTAACGCCAAAAACCTTAAACCTGACCCTAGCCTGATTACCCTGATACCTGGGTATTACCTTCAGGAAGCCCGAACACCCCAAATATGTTTTTTTATTTTTGATTTCTTTTCGGTCTAACTAACTCCAAAAGGTTGGAAAAGAGTTCCTACAAAGGTTTTGGACAGTGATTTTAACCCTAACTCCAAAAACATTTAAACCTTACCCTAGCCCCATAACCTAATACCCGGGTATTACCTTCAGGAAGACCGAACACCCCAAATATTTCTTGTTCCTTTTTCTTTTTTTTTTTGGTTTAACTAACTCCAAAAGGTTGGAAACTTTTTCCTACAAAGGTTGTGGACAGTGATTTTAACCCTAACGCCAAAAACCTTACCCTAGCCCCAAAACCTAATACCCGGGTATTACCTTCAGGAAGCCCGAACACCCCAAACATTTTTTTTTCATTTTTCGTTTTTTTTAGGTCTAACTAACTCTAAAAGGTTGGAAAAGAGTTCCTACAAAGATTTTGGACAGGGATTTTAACCCTAACGCCAAAAACCTTAAACCTTACCCTAGCCCCATAACCTAATACCCGGGTATTACCTTCAGGAAGCCCGAACACCCCAAACATTTTTTTTTCATTTTTCGTTTTTTTTAGGTCTAACTAACTCCAAAAGGTTGGAAAAAAGTTCCTACAAAGGTTTTGGACAGTGATTTTAACCCTAACGCCAAAAACCTTACCCTAGCCCCCTAACCTAATACTCGGGTATTACCTTCAGAAAGCCCGAAAACCCCAAATATTTTTTTTTCATTTTTCATTTCTTTCCGGTCTAACTAACTCCAAAAGGTTGGAAAAGAGTTCCTACAAAGGTTTTGGACAGTGATTTTAACCCTAACGCCAAAAACCTTAAACCTTACCCTAGCCCCATAACCTAATACCCGGGTATTACCTTCAGGAAGCCCGAACACCCCAAACATTTTTTTTTTCATTTTTCGTTTTTTTTAGGTCTAACTAACTCCAAAAGGTTGGAAAAGAGTTCCTACAAAGGTTTTGGACAGTGATTTTAACCATAATGCCAAAAACCTTAAACCTTACCAAAGCACCATAACCTAATACCTGGGTATTACCTTCAGGAAGCCCGAACACCCCAAATATTTCTTTTTCATTTTAAAAATTTTTTCTGGTTTAACTAACTCCAAAAGGTTGGAAAGGAGTTCCTACAAAGGTTTCGGACAGTGATTTTAACCCTAACGCCAAAAAACTTAAACCTTACCCTAGCCCCAAAACCTAATACCCGGGTGTTACCTTCAGAAAGCCCGAAAACCCCAAATATTTTTTTTTCATTTTTCATTTTTTTTCTGATCTAACTAACTCCAAAAGGTTGGAAAAGAGTTCCTACAAAGGTTTTGGACAGTGATTTTAACCCTTACGCCAAAAACCTGAAACCTTTCACTAGCCCCTTAACCTAATACCCGGGTATTACCTTCAGGAAGACCGAACATCCCAAATATTTTTTTTTCATTTTTTGTTTTATTTTGGTCTAACTAACTCCAAAAGGTTGGAAAAGAGTTCCTACAAAGGTTTTGGACAGGGATTTTAACCCTAACGCCAAAAACCTTAAACCTTACCCTAGCCCCGTAACCTAATACCCGGGTATTACCTTCAGAAAGCCCGAAAACCCCAAATATTTTTTTTTCATTTTTCATTTCTTTCCGGTCTAACTAACTCCAAAACGTTGGAAAAGAGTTCCTACAAAGGTTTTGGACAGTGATTTTAACCCTAACGCCAAAAACCTTAAACCTTACCCTAGCCCCATAACCTAATATTACCTTCAGGAAGCCCGAACACCCCAAACATTTTTTTTTCATTTTTCATTTTTTTTAGGTCTAACTAACTCCAAAAGGTTGGAAAAGAGTTCCTACAAAGGTTTTGGACAGTGATTTTAACCATAATGCCAAAAACCTTAAACCTTACCAAAGCCCCATAACCTAATACCTGGGTATTACCTTCAGGAAGCCCGAACACCCCAAATATTTCTTTTTCATTTTACAATTTTTTTTTTGGTTTAACTAACTCCAAAAGGTTGGAAAGGAGTTCCTACAAAGGTTTTGGACAGTGATTTTAACCCTAACGCCAAAAACCTTAAACCTTACCCTAGCCCCAAAACCTAATACCCGGGTGTTACCTTCAGAAAGCCCGAAAACCCCAAATATATTTTTTTTCATTTTTCAGTTTTTTTTCTGATCTAACTAACTCCAAAAGGTTGGAAAAGAGTTCCTACAAAGGTTTTGGACAGTGATTTTAACCCTTACGCCAAAAACCTTAAACCTTACCCTAGCCCCGTAACCTAATACTCGGGTATTACCTTCAGAAAGCCCGAAAACCCCAAATATTTTTTTTTCATTTTTCATTTCTTTCCGGTCTAACTAACTCCAAAATGTTGGAAAAGAGTTCCTACAAAGGTTTTGGACAGTGATTTTAACCATAATGCCAAAAACCTTAAACCTTACCAAAGCCCCATAACCTAATACCTGGCTATTACCTTCAGGAAGCCCGAACACCCCAAATATTTCTTTTTCATTTTACAATTTTTTTTTTGGTTTAACTAACTCCAAAAGGTTGGAAAGGAGTTCCTACAAAGGTTTTGGACAGTGATTTTAACCCTAACGCCAAAAACCTTAAACCTGACCCTAGCCTGATTACCCTGATACCTGGGTATTACCTTCAGGAAGCCCGAACACCCCAAATATGTTTTTTTATTTTTGATTTCTTTTCGGTCTAACTAACTCCAAAAGGTTGGAAAAGAGTTCCTACAAAGGTTTTGGACAGTGATTTTAACCCTAACTCCAAAAACATTTAAACCTTACCCTAGCCCCATTACCTAATACCCGGGTATTACCATCAGAGAGCCCGAAAACCCCAAATATTTTTTTTTTCATTTTTCATTTTTTTCTGGTCTAACTAACTCCAAAAGGTTGGAAAAGAGTTCCTACAAAGGTTTTGGACAGTGATTTTAACCCTAACGCCAAAAACCCTAAACCTTTCACTAGCCCCATAACCTAATACCCGAGTATTACCTTCAGGAAGCCCGAACACCCCAAACATTTTTTTTTCATTTTTCGTTTTTTTTAGGTCTAACTAACTCCAAAAGGTTGGAAAATAGTTCCTACAAAGGTTTTGGACAGTGATTTTAACCATAATGCCAAAAACCTTAAACCTTACCAAAGCCCCATAACCTTATACCTGGGTATTACCTTCAGGAAGCCCGAACACCCCAAATATTTCTTTTTCATTTTACAATTTTTTTTTTGGTTTAACTAACTCCAAAAGGTTGGAAAGGAGTTCCTACAAAGGTTTTGGACAGTGATTTTAACCCTAGCGCCAAAAAACTTAAACCTTACCCTAGCTCCAAAACCTAATACCCGGGTGTTACCTTCAGAAAGCCCGAAAACCCCAAATATTTCTTTTTCATTTTTTATTTTTTTCTGGTCTAACTAACTCCAAAAGGTTGGAAAATAGTTCCTACAAAGGTTTTGGACAGTGATTTGAACCCTAAAGCCAAAAACCTTACCCTAGCCCCATAACCTAATACCCGGGTATTACCTTCAGGAAGACCGAACACCCCAAATATTTTTTTTTCAGTTTTTGTTTTATTTTGGTCTAACTAACTCCAAAAGGTTGGAAAAGAGTTCCTACAAAGGTTTTGGACAGTGATTTTAACCCTTACGCCAAAAACCTGAAACCTTTTACTAGCCCCATAACCTAATACCCGAGTATTACCTTCAGGAAGCCCAAACACCCCAAATATTTCTTTTTCATTTTACAATTTTTTTTTTGGTGTAACTAACTCCAAAAGGTTGGAAAAGAGTTCCTACAAAGGTTTTGGACAGTGATTTTAACCCTAACGCCAAAAACCTTACCCTAGCCCCATAGCCTAATACCCGGGTATTACCTTCAGGAAGACCGAACACCCCAAATATTTTTTTTTCACTTTTTGTTTTATTTTGGTCTAACTAACTCCAAAAGGTTGGAAAAGAGTTCCCACAAAGGTTTTGGACAGGGATTTTAACCCTAACGCCAAAAACCTTAAACCTTACCCTAGCCCCGTAACCTAATACTCGGGTATTACCTTCAGAAAGCCCGAACACCCCAAACATTTTTTTTTTAATTTTTCGTTTTTTTTAGGTCTAACTAACTCCAAAAGGTTGGAAAAGAGTTCCTACAAAGGTTTTGGACAGTGATTTTAACCATAATGCCAAAAACCTTAAACCTTACCAAAGCCCCATAACCTAATACCCGGGTATTACCTTCAGGAAGCCCGAACACCCCAAACATTTTTTTTTCATTTTTCATTTTTTTTTAGGTCTAACTAACTCCAAAAGGTTGGAAAAGAGTTCCTACAAAGGTTTTGGACAGTGATTTTAACCATAATGCCAAAAACCTTAAACCTTACCAAAGCCCCATAACCTAATACCTGGGTATTACCTTCAGGAAGCCCATACACCCCAAATATTTCTTTTTCATTTTACATTTTTTTTTTTGGTTTAACTAACTCCAAAAGGTTGGAAAGGAGTTCCTACAAAGGTTTTGGACAGTGATTTTAACCCTAACGCCAAAAAAATTAAACCTTAGCCTAGCTCCAAAACCTAACACCCGGGTGTTACCTTCAGAAAGCCCGAAAACCCCAAATATTTCTTTTTCATTTTTTATTTTTTTCTGGTCTAACTAACTCCAAAAGGTTGGAAAAGAGTTCCTACAAAGGTTTTGGACAGTGATTTTAACCCTAACGCCAAAAACCTGAAACCTTTCACTAGCCCCATAACCTAATACCCGGGTATTACCTTCAGGAAGCCCGAACACCCCAAATATTTCTTTTTCATTTTACAATTTTTTTTTTGGTGTAACTAACTCCAAAAGGTTGGAAAAGAGTTCCTACAAAGGTTTTGGACAGTGATTTTAACCCTAACGCCAGAAACCTTACCCTAGCCCCATAACCTAATACCCGGGTATTACCTTCAGGAAGACCGAACACCCCAAATATTTTTTTTTCATTTTTTGTTTTATTTTGGTCTAACTAACTCCAAAACGTTGGAAAAGAGTTCCTACAAAGGTTTTGGACAGTGATTTTAACCCTAACGCCAAAAACCTTAAACCTTACCCTAGCCCCAAAACCTAATACCCGGGTATTACCTTCAGGAAGCCCAAAACCCCAAATATTTTGTTTTTCATTTTTAATTTTTTTTGGGTCTAACTAACTCCAAAAGGTTGGAAAAGAGTTCCTACAAAGGTTTTGGACAGTGATTTTAACCCTAACGCCAAAAACCTTAAATCTTACCCTAGCCCCATAACCTAATACCCGGGTATTACCTTCAGGAAGCCCGAACACCCCAAACATTTTTTTTTCATTTTTCGTTTTTTTTAGGTCTAACTAACTCCAAAAGGTTGGAAAAGAGTTCCTACAAAGGTTTTGGACAGTGATTTTAACCCTAACTCCAAAAACATTTAAACCTTACCCCAGCCCCATTACCTAATACTATTACCTTCAGAGAGCCCGAAAACCCCAAATATATATTTTTTTCATTTTTCATTTTTTTCTGGTCTAACTAACTCCAAAAGGTTGGAAAAGAGTTCCTACAAAGGTTTTGGACAGTGATTTTAACCCTAACGCCAAAAACCCTAAACCTTTCACTAGCCCCATAACCTAATACCCAGGTATTACCTTCAGGAAGCCCGAACACCCCAAATATTTCTTTTTCATTTTACAATTTTTTTTTTTTTGGTGTAACTAACTCCAAAAGGTTGGAAAAGAGTTCCTACAAAGGTTTTGGACAGTAATTTTAACCCTAACGCCAAAAACCTTACCCTAGCCCCATAACCTAATACCCGGGTATTACCTTCAGGAAGCCTGAACACCCCAAATATTTTTTTTTCATTTTTTGTTTTATTTTGGTCTAACTAACTCCAAAAGGTTGGAAAAGAGTTCCTACAAAGGTTTTGGACAGTGATTTTAACCCTAACGCCAAAAACCTTAAACCTTACCCTAGCCCCATAACCTAATACCCGGGTATTACCTTCAGGAAGCCCGAACACCCAAAACATTTTTTTTTCTCTTTTCGTTTTTTTTAGGTCTAACTAACTCCAAAAGGTTGGAAAAGAGTTCCTACAAAGGTTTTGGACAGTGATTTTAACCATAATGCCAAAAACCTTAAACCTTACCAAAGCCCCATAACCTAATACCTGGGTATTACCTTCAGGAAGCCCATACACCCCAAATATTTCTTTTTCATTTTACAATTTTTTTTTTGGTTTAACTAACTCCAAAAGGTTGGAAAGGAGTTCCTACAAAGGTTTTGGACAGTGATTTTAACCCTAACGCCAAAAAACTTAAACCTTAGCCTAGCTCCAAAACCTAATACCCGGGTGTTACCTTCAGAAAGCCCGAAAACCCCAAATATTTCTTTTTCATTTTTTATTTTTTTCTGGTCTAACTAACTCCAAAAGGTTGGAAAAGAGTTCCTACAAAGGTTTTGGACAGTAATTTTAACCCTAACGCCAAAAACCTTACCCTAGCCCCATAACCTAATACCCGGGTATTACCTTCAGGAAGCCTGAACACCCCAAATATTTTTTTTTCATTTTTTGTTTTATTTTGGTCTAACTAACTCCAAAAGGTTGGAAAAGAGTTCCTACAAAGGTTTTGGACAGGGATTTTAACCCTAAAGCCAAAAACCTTAAACCTTACCCTAGCCCCGTAACCTAAAACCCGGGTATTACCTTCAGAAAGCCAGAAAACCCCAAATATTTTTTTTTCATTTTTCATTTCTTTCGGGTGTAACTAACTCCAAAAGGTTGGAAAAGAGTTCCTACAAAGGTTTTGGACAGTAATTTTAACCCTAACGCCAAAAACCTTACCCTAGCCCCATAACCTAATACCCGGGTATTACCTTCAGGAAGCCTGAACACCCCAAATATTTTTTTTTCATTTTTTGTTTTATTTTGGTCTAACTAACTCCAAAAGGTTGGAAAAGAGTTCCTACAAAGGTTTTGGACAGTGATTTTAACCCTAACGCCAAAAACCTTAAACCTTACATTAGTCCCAAAACCTTATAGCAGGGTATTACCTTCAGAAAGCCCGAACACCCCAAATATTTTTTTTTCATTTTTCATTTCTTTCGGGTCTAACTAACTCCAAAAGGTTGGAAAAGAGTTCCTACAAAGGTTTTGGACAGTGATTTTAACCATAATGCCAAAAACCTTAAACCTTACCCTAGCCCCAGAACCTAATACCTTCAGGAAGCCCGAACACCCCAACATTTTTTTTTCATTTTTCGTTTTTTTTAGGTCTAACTAACTCCAAAAGGTTGGAAAAGAGTTCCTACAAAGGTTTTGGACAGTGATTTTAACCATAATGCCAAAAACCTTAAACCTTACCAAAGCCCCATAACCTAATACCTGGGTATTACCTTCAGGAAGCCCAAACACCCCAAATATTTCTTTTTCAATTTACAATTTTTTTTTGGTGTAACTAACTCCAAAAGGTTGGAAAAGAGTTCCTACAAAGGTTTTGGACAGTGATTTTAACCCTAACGCCAAAAACCTTACCCTAGCCCCATGACCTAATACCCGGGTATTACCTTCAGGAAGACCGAACACCCCAATTTTTTTTTTTTCATTTTTTGTTTTATTTTGGTCTAACTAACTCCAAAAGGTTGGAAAAGAGTTCCTACAAAGGTTTTGGACAGGGATTTTAACCCTAACGCCAAAAACCTTAAACCTTACCCTAGCCCCGTAACCTAAAACCCGGGTATTACCTTCAGAAAGGCAGAAAACCCCAAATATTTTTTTTTCATTTTTCATTTCTTTCGGGTGTAACTAACTCCAAAAGGTTGGAAAAGAGTTCCTACAAAGGTTTTGGACAGTGATTTTAACCCTTACACCAAAAACCTTAAACCTTACCCTAGCCCCATAACCTAATACCTTCAGGAAGCCCGAACACCCCAACATTTTTTTTCATTTTTCGTTTTTTTTAGGTCTAACTAACTCCAAAAGGTTGGAAAAGAGTTCCTACAAAGGTTTTGGACAGTGATTTTAACCATAATGCCAAAAACCTTAAACCTTACCAAAGCCCCATAACCTAATACCTGGGTATTACCTTCAGGAAGCCCAAACACCCCAAATATTTCTTTTTCATTTTACAATTTTTTTTTTGGTGTAACTAACTCCAAAAGGTTGGAAAAGAGTTCCTACAAAGGTTTTGGACAGTAATTTTAACCCTAACGCCAAAAACCTTACCCTAGCCCCATAGCCTAATACCTGGGTATTACCTTCAGGAAGCCCGAACACCCCCAAAATTTTTTTTTCATTTTTCGTTTTTTTTAGGTCTAACTAACTCCAAAAGGTTGGAAAAGAGTTCCTACAAAGGTTTTGGACAGTGATTTTAACCATAATGCCAAAAACCTTAAACCTTACCAAAGCCCCATAACCTAATACCTGGGTATTACCTTCAGGAAGCCCGAACACCCCAAATATTTCTTTTTCATTTTACAATTTTTTTTTTGGTTTAACTAACTCCAAAAGGTTGGAAAGGAGTTCCTACAAAGGTTTTGGACAGTGATTTTAACCCTAACGCCAAAAAACTTAAACCTTACCCTAGCCCCAAAACCTACTACCTGGGTGTTACCTTCAGAAAGCCCGAAAACCCCAAATATTTTTTTTTTCATTTTTCATTATTTTTCTGATCTAACTAACTCCAAAAGGTTGGAAAAGAGTTCCTACAAAGGTTTTGGACAGTGATTTTAACCCTTACGCCAAAAACCTGAAACCTTTCACTAGCCCCTTAACCTAATACCCGGGTATTACCTTCAGGAAGCCCAAACACCCCAAATATTTCTTTTTCATTTTACAATTTTTTTTTTTGGTGTAACTAACTCCAAAAGGTTGGAAAAGAGTTCCTAAAAAGGTTTTGGACAGTGATTTTAACCCTAACGCCAAAAACCTTACCCTAGCCCCATAACCTAATGCCAAAAACCTTACCCTAGCCCCATAACCTAATACCCGGGTATTACCTTCAGGAAGACCGAACATCCCAAATATTTTTTTTTCATTTTTTGTTTTATTTTGGTCTAACTAACTCCAAAAGGTTGGAAAAGAGTTCCTACAAAGGTTTTGGACAGGGATTTTAACCCTAACGCCAAAAACCTTAAACCTTACCCTAGCCCCAGAACCTAATACCTTCAGGAAGCCCGAACACCCCAACATTTTTTTTTCATTTTTCGTTCTTTTTAGGTCTTACTAACTCCAAAAGGTTGGAAAAGAGTTCCTACAAAGGTTTTGGACAGTGATTTTAACCCTAACGCCAAAAACCTTACCCTAGCCCCATGACCTAATACCCGGGTATTACCTTCAGGAAGACCGAACACCCCAATTTTTTTTTTTTTCATTTTTTGTTTTATTTTGGTCTAACTAACTCCAAAAGGTTGGAAAAGAGTTCCTACAAAGGTTTTGGACAGGGATTTTAACCCTAACGCCAAAAACCTTAAACCTTACCCTAGCCCCGTAACCTAAAACCCGGGTATTACCTTCAGAAAGCCAGAAAACCCCAAATATTTTTTTTTCATTTTTCATTTCTTTCGGGTGTAACTAACTCCAAAAGGTTGGAAAAGAGTTCCTACAAAGGTTTTGGACAGTGATTTTAACCCTTACGCCAAAAACCTTAAACCTTACCCTAGCCCCATAACCTAATACCTTCAGGAAGCCCGAACACCCCAACATTTTTTTTTCATTTTTCGTTTTTTTTAGGTCTAACTAACTCCAAAAGGTTGGAAAAGAGTTCCGACAAAGGTTTTGGACAGTGATTTTAACCATAATGCCAAAAACCTTAAACCTTACCAAAGCCCCATAACCTAATACCTGGGTATTACCTTCAGGAAGCCCGAACACCCCAAATATTTCTTTTTCATTTTACAATTTTTTTTTTGGTTTAACTAACTCCAAAAGGTTGGAAAGAAGTTCCTACAAAGGTTTTGGACAGTGATTTTAACCCTTACGCCAAAAACCTGAAACCTTTCATTAGCCCCATAACCTAATACCCGAGTATTACCTTCAGGAAGCCCAAACACCCCAAATATTTCTTTTTCATTTTACAATTTTTTTTTTGGTGTAACTAACTCCAAAAGGTTGGAAAAGAGTTCCTACAAAGGTTTTGGACAGTAATTTTAACCCTAACGCCAAAAACCTTACCCTAGCCCCATAGCCTAATACCTGGGTATTACCTTCAGGAAGCCCGAACACCCCAACATTTTTTTTTCATTTTGCGTTTTTTTTAGGTCTAACTAACTCCAAAAGGTTGGAAAAGAGTTCCTACAAAGGTTTTGGACAGTGATTTTAACCATAATGCCAAAAACCTTAAACCTTACCAAAGCCCCATAACCTAATACCTGGGTATTACCTTCAGGAAGCCCGAACACCCCAAATATTTCTTTTTCATTTTACAATTTTTTTTTTGGTTTAACTAACTCCAAAAGGTTGGAAAGAAGTTCCTACAAAGGTTTTGGACAGTGATTTTAACCCTTACGCCAAAAACCTGAAACCTTTCATTAGCCCCATAACCTAATACCCGAGTATTACCTTCAGGAAGCCCAAACACCCCAAATATTTCTTTTTCATTTTACAATTTTTTTTTTGGTGTAACTAACTCCAAAAGGTTGGAAAAGAGTTCCTACAAAGGTTTTGGACAGTAATTTTAACCCTAACGCCAAAAACCTTACCCTAGCCCCATAGCCTAATACCTGGGTATTACCTTCAGGAAGCCCGAACACCCCCAAAATTTTTTTTTCATTTTTCGTTTTTTTTAGGTCTAACTAACTCCAAAAGGTTGGAAAAGAGTTCCTACAAAGGTTTTGGACAGTGATTTTAACCATAATGCCAAAAACCTTAAACCTTACCAAAGCCCCATAACCTAATACCTGGGTATTACCTTCAGGAAGCCCGAACACCCCAAATATTTCTTTTTCATTTTACAATTTTTTTTTTGGTTTAACTAACTCCAAAAGGTTGGAAAGGAGTTCCTACAAAGGTTTTGGACAGTGATTTTAACCCTAACGCCAAAAAACTTAAACCTTACCCTAGCCCCAAAACCTACTACCTGGGTGTTACCTTCAGAAAGCCCGAAAACCCCAAATATTTTTTTTTTCATTTTTCATTATTTTTCTGATCTAACTAACTCCAAAAGGTTGGAAAAGAGTTCCTACAAAGGTTTTGGACAGTGATTTTAACCCTTACGCCAAAAACCTGAAACCTTTCACTAGCCCCTTAACCTAATACCCGGGTATTACCTTCAGGAAGCCCAAACACCCCAAATATTTCTTTTTCATTTTACAATTTTTTTTTGTTGGTGTAACTAACTCCAAAAGGTTGGAAAAGAGTTCCTAAAAAGGTTTTGGACAGTGATTTTAACCCTAACGCCAAAAACCTTACCCTAGCCCCATAACCTAATGCCAAAAACCTTACCCTAGCCCCATAACCTAATACCCAGGTATTACCTTCAGGAAGACCGAACATCCCAAATATTTTTTTTTCATTTTTTGTTTTATTTTGGTCTAACTAACTCCAAAAGGTTGGAAAAGAGTTCCTACAAAGGTTTTGGACAGGGATTTTAACCCTAACGCCAAAAACCTTAAACCTTACCCTAGCCCCAGAACCTAATACCTTCAGGAAGCCCGAACACCCCAACATTTTTTTTTCATTTTTCGTTTTTTTTAGGTCTAACTAACTCCAAAAGGTTGGAAAAGAGTTCCTACAAAGGTTTTGGACAGTGATTTTAACCATAATGCCAAAAACCTTAAACCTTACCAAAGCCCCATAACCTAATACCTGGGTATTACCTTCAGGAAGCCCGAACACCCCAAATATTTCTTTTTCATTTTACAATTTTTTTTTTGGTTTAACTAACTCCAAAAGGTTGGAAAGAAGTTCCTACAAAGGTTTTGGACAGTGATTTTAACCCTAACGCCAAAAAACTTAAACCTTACCCTAGCCCCAAAACCTAATACCCGGGTGTTACCTTCAGAAAGCCCGAAAACCCCAAATATTTTTTTTTTCATTTTTCATTTTTTTTCTGGTCTAACTAACTCCAAAAGGTTGGAAAAGAGTTCCTACAAAGGTTTTGGACAGTGATTTTAACCCTTACGCCAAAAACCTGAAACCTTTCACTAGCCCCATAACCTTATACCCGAGTATTACCTTCAGGAAGCCCAAATACCCCAAATATTTCTTTTTCATTTTACAATTTTTTTTTTGGTGTAACTAACTCCAAAAGGTTGGAAAAGAGTTCCTACAAAGGTTTTGGACAGTGATTTTAACCATAACGCCAAAAACCTTACCCTAGCCCCATAGCCTAATACCCGGGTATTACCTTCAGGAAGACCGAACACCCCAAATATTTTTTTTTCACTTTTTGTTTTATTTTGGTCTAACTAACTCCAAAAGGTTGGAAAAGAGTTCCTACAAAGGTTTTGGACAGTGATTTTAACCATAACGCCAAAAACCTTACCCTAGCCCCATAACCTAATACCCGGGTATTACCTTCAGGAAGACCGAACACCCCAAATATTTTTTTTTCATTTTTTGTTTTATTTTGGTCTAACTAACTCCAAAAGGTTGGAAAAGAGTTCCTACAAAGGTTTTGGACAGTGATTTTAAACATAATGCCAAAAACCTTAAACCTTACCAAAGCCCCAAACCTAATACCTGGGTATTACCTTCAGGAAGCCCGAACACCCCAAATATTTCTTTTTCATTTTACAATTTTTTTTTTGGTTTAACTAACTCCAAAAGGTTGGAAAAGAGTTCCTACAAAGGTTTTGGACAGTGATTTTAACCCTTACGCCAAAAAACTTAAACCTTACCCTAGCCCCAAAACCTAATACCCAGGTGTTACCTTCAGAAAGCCCGAAAAACCCCAAATATTTTTTTTTTCATTTTTCATTTTATTTTGGTCTAACGAACTCCAAAAGGTTGGAAAAGAGTTCCTACAAAGGTTTTGGACAGGGATTTTAACCCTCACGCCAAAAACCTTAAACCCGACCCTAGCCCCATTACCTAATACCTGGGTATTGCCTTCAGGAAGCCCGAACACCCCAAATATTTCTTTTTCCTTTCCTTTTTTTTTTTGGTCTAACTAACTCAAAAAGGTTGGAAAAGTATTCCTACAAAGGTTTTGGACAGTGATTTTAACCCTAACGCCAAAAACCTTAAACCTTACCCTAGCCCCAAAACCTAATACCCGGGTATTACCTTCAGGAAGCCCAAAACCCCAAATATTTTATTTTTCATTTTTCATTTTTTTTGGGTCTAACTAACTCCAAAAGGTTGGAAAAGAGTTCCTACAAAGGTTTTGGACAGTGATTTTAACCCTAACGCCAAAAACCTTAAATCTTACCCTAGCCCCATAACCTTATACCCGGGTATTACCTTCAGGAAGCCCAAACACCCCAAATATTTCTTTTTCATTTTACAATTTTTTTTTTGGTCTAACTAACTCCATAAGGTCTGAAACATGTTCCTAAAAAGGTTTTGGACAGTGATTTTAACCCTAACGCCAAAAACATTAAACCTTTCCATAGCCCCATAATCTAATATCTTCAGGAAGACCGAACACCCCAAATATTTTTTTTCATTTTTTGTTCATTTTTGGTGTAACTAACTCCAAAAGGTTGGAAAAGAGTTCGTACAAAGGTTTTGGACAGTGATTTTAACCCTTACGCCAAAAACCTTAAACCTGACCCTAGTCTGATTACCCTGATACCTGGGTATTACATTCAGGAAGCCCGAACACCCCAAATATGTTTTTTTATTTTTGATTTCTTTTCGGTCTAACTAACTCCAAAAGGTTGGAAAAGAGTTCCTACAAAGGTTTTGGACAGTGATTTTAACCCTAACGCCAAAAACCTTACCCTAGCCCCATAACCTAATACCCGGGTATAACCTTCAGGAAGACCGAACACCCCAAATATTTTTTTCTTCATTTTTTGTTTTTTTGTTTTGGTGTAACTAACTCCAAAAGGTTGGAAAAGAGTTCCTACAAAGGTTTTGGACAGTGATTTTAACCCTAACGCCAAAAACCTTTAACCTTACCCTAGCCCCATGACCTAATACCCGGCTATTGCCTTCAGGAAGCCCGAACACCCGAAATATTTCTTGTTCCTTTTTTTTTTCTTTTTTTGGTCTAACTCCAAAAGGTTGGAAAAGAGTTCCTACAAAGGTTTTGACAGTGATTTTAACCCTAACGCCAAAAACCTTAAACCTTACATTAGTCCCATAACCTTATACCAGGGTATTACCGTCAGAAAGCCCGAACACCCCAAATATTTTTTTTTCATTTTACAATTTTTTTTTTTGGTTTAACTCACTCCAAAAGGTTGGAAAGGAGTTCCTACAAAGGTTTTGGACAGTGATTTTAACCCTTACGCCAAAAACCTTAAACCTTACATTAGTCCCAAAACCTTATACCAGGGTATTACCTTCAGAAAGCCCGAAAACCCCAAATATTTTTTTTTTCATTTTTTGTTTTATTTTTGTCTAACTAACTCCAAAAGGTTGGAAAAGAGTTCCTACAAAGGTTTTGGACAGGGATTTTAACCCTAACGCCAAAAACCTTAAACCTTACCCTAGCCCCATAACCTAAAACCCGGGTATTACCTTCAGAAAGCCCGAAAACCCCAAATTTTTTTTTTTCATTTTTCATTTCTTTCGGGTCTAACTAACTCCAAAACATTGGAAAAGAGTTCCTACAAAGGTTTTGGACAGTGATTTTAACCATAATGCCAAAAACCTTAAACCTTACCAAAGCCCCATAACCTAATACCGGGGAATTACCTTCAGGAAGACCGAACACCCCAAATATTTTTTTTGCATTTTACAAATTTTTTTTTTGGTTTAACTAACTCCAAAAGGTTGGAAAGGAGTTCCTACAAAGGTTTTGGACAGTGATTTTAACCCTTACGCCAAAAAACTTAAACCTTACCCTAGCCCCAAAACCTAATACCCGGGTGTTACCTTCAGAAAGCCCGAAAACCCCAAATATTTTTTTTTTCATTTTTTGTTTTATTTTGGTCTAACTAACTCCAAAAGGTTGGAAAAGAGTTCCTACAAAGGTTTTGGACAGTGATTTTAACCCTAACGCCAAAAACATTAAACCTTTCCATAGCCCCATAATCTAATACCTTCAGGAAGACCGAACATCCCAAATATTTTTTTTTCATTTTTCGTTTATTTTTGGTGTAACTAACTCCAAAAGGTTGGAAAGGAGTTCCTACAAAGGTTTTGGACAGTGATTTTAACCCTTACGCCAAAAAACTTAAACCTTACCCTAGCCCCAAAACCTAATACCCGGGTGTTACCTTCAGAAAGCCCGAAAACCCCAAATATTTTTTTTTTCATTTTTCATTTTATTTTTGTCTACCTAACTCCAAAAGGTTGGAAAAGAGTTCCTACAAAGGTTTTGGACAGGGATTTTAACCCTCACGCCAAAAACCTTAAACCCGACCCTAGCCCCATAACCTAATACCTGGGTATTGCCTTCAGGAAGCCCGAACACCCCAAATATTTATTTTTCCTTTCCTTTTTTTTTTGGTCTAACTAACTCCAAAAGGTTGGAAAAGAGTTCCTACAAAGGTTTTGGACAGTGATTTTAACCATGATGCCAAAAACCTTAAACCTTACCCTAGCTCCAAAACCTAATACCCGGGTATTACCTTCAGGAAGCCCAAACACCCCAAATATTTCTTTTTCATTTTACAATTTTTTTTTGGTCTAACTAACTCCATAAGGTCTGAAACATGTTCCTAAAAAGGTTTTGGACAGTGATTTTAACCCTAACGCCAAAAACATTAAACCTTTCCATAGCCCCATAATCTCATACCTTCAGGAAGACCGAACACCCCAAATATTTTTTTTTCATTTTTTGTTCATTTTTGGTGTAACTAACTCCAAAAGGTTGGAAAAGAGTTCCTACAAAGGTTTTGGACAGGGATTTTAACCCTTACGCCAAAAACCTTAAACCTGATCCTAGCCTGATTACACTGATACCTGGGTATTACATTCACGAAGCCCGAACACCCCAAATATGTTTTTTTATTTTTGATTTCTTTTCGGTCTAACTAACTCCAAAAGGTTGGAAAAGAGTTCCTACAAAGGTTTTGGACAGTGATTTTAACCCTTACTCCAAAAACATTTAAACCTTACCCTAGCCCCATTACCGGTATTACCTTCAGGAAGACCGAACACCCCAAATATTTCTTGTTCCTTTTTCTTTTTTTTTTGGTTTAACTAACTCCAAAAGGTTGGAAAGGAGTTCCTACAAAGGTTTTGGACAGTGATTTTAACCCTAACGCCAAAAACCTTACCCTAGCCCCAAAACCTAATACCCGGGTATTACCTTCAGGAAGCCCGAACACCCCAAATATTTTTTTTTCATTTTTTGTTTTATTTTTGTCTAACTAACTCCAAAAGGTTGGAAAATAGTTCCTACAAAGGTTTTGGACAGGGATTTTAACCCTAACGCCAAAAACCTTAAACCTTACCCTAGCCCCATAACCTAAAACCCGGGTATTACCTTCAGAAAGCCCGAAAACCCCAAATTTTTTTTTTTCATTTTTCATTTCTTTCGGGTCTAACTAACTCCAAAACATTGGAAAAGAGTTCCTACAAAGGTTTTGGACAGTGATTTTAACCCTAACGCCAAAAACCTTAAACCTTACCCAAGCCCCATAACCTAATACCCGGGTATTACCTTCAGGAAGCCCGAACACCCCAAACATTTTTTTTTCATTTTTCGTTTTTTTTTAGGTCTAACTAACTCCAAAAGGTTGGAAAAGAGTTCCTACAAAGGTTTTGGACAGTGATTTTAACCATAATGCCAAAAACCTTAAACCTTACCAAAGCCCCATAACCTAATACCTGGGTATTACCTTCAGGAAGCCCGAACACCCCAAATATTTCTTTTTCATTTTACAATTTTTTTTTTGGTTTAACTAACTCCAAAAGGTTGGAAAGAAGTTCCTACAAAGGTTTTGGACAGTGATTTTAACCCTAACACCAAAAAACTTAAACCTTACCCTAGCCCCAAAACCTAATACCCGGGTGTTACCTTCAGAAAGCCCGAAAACCCCAAATATTTTTTTTTTCATTTTTCATTTTTTTTCTGGTCTAACTAACTCCAAAAGGTTGGAAAAGAGTTCCTACAAAGGTTTTGGACAGTGATTTTAACGCTTACACCAAAAACCTGAAACCTTTCACTAGCCCCATAACCTAATACCCGGGAATTACCTTCAGGAAGCCCAAACACCCCAAATATTTCTTTTTCATTTTACAATTTTTTTTTTGGTGTAACTAACTCCAAAAGGTTGGAAAAGAGTTACTACAAAGGTTTTGGACAGTGATTTTAACCCTAACGCCAAAAACCTTACCCTAGCCCCATAACCTAATACCCGGGTATTACCTTCAGGAAGCCCCAAAACCCCAAAAATTTTTTTTCATTTTTTGTTTTATTTTGGTCTAACTAACTCCAAAAGGTTGGAAAAGAGTTCCTACAAAGGTTTTGGACAGTGATTTTAACTCTAACGCCAAAATCCTTAAACCTTACCCTAGCCCCATAACCTAATACCCGGGTATTACCATCAGGAAGCCCGAACACCCCAAATATTTTTTTTTCACTTTTCGTTTTTTTTAGGTCTAACTAACTCCAAAAGGTTGGAAAAGAGTTCCTACAAAGGTTTTGGACAGTGATTTTAACCATAATGCCAAAAACCTTAAACCTTACCAAAGCCCCATAACCTAATACCTGGGTATTACCTTCAGGAAGCCCGAACACCCGAAATATTTCTTGTTCCTTTTTTTTTTCTTTTTTTGGTCTAACTCCAAAAGGTTGGAAAAGAGTTCCTACAAAGGTTTTGACAGTGATTTTAACCCTAACGCCAAAAACCTTAAACCTTACATTAGTCCCATAACCTTATACCAGGGTATTACCGTCAGAAAGCCCGAAAACCCCAAATATTTCTTTTTCATTTTACAATATTTTTTTTGGTGTAACTAACTCCAAAAGGTTGGAAAAGAGTTCCTACAAAGGTTTTGGACAGTGATTTTAACCCTAACGCCAAAAACCTTACCCTAGCCCCATAACCTAATACCCGGGTATTACCTTCAGGAAGCCCCAAAACCCCAAATATTTTTTTTTCATTTTTTGTTTTATTTTGGTCTAACTAACTCCAAAAGGTTGGAAAAGAGTTCCTACAAAGGTTTTGGACAGTGATTTTAACTCTAACGCCAAAATCCTTAAACCTTACCCTAGCCCCATAACCTAATACCCGGGTATTACCATCAGGAAGCCCGAACACCCCAAATATTTTTTTTTCATTTTTCGTTTTTTTTAGGTCTAACTAACTCCAAAAGGTTGGAAAAGAGTTCCTACAAAGGTTTTGGACAGTGATTTTAACCATAATGCCAAAAACCTTAAACCTTACCAAAGCCCCATAACCTAATACCTGGGTATTACCTTCAGGAAGCCCGAACACCCCAAATATTTCTTTTTCATATTTCAATTTTTTTTTTGGTTTAACTAACTCCAAAAGGTTGGGAAGGAGTTCCTACAAAGGTTTTGGACAGTGATTTTAACCCTAACGCCAAAAACCTTAAACCTTATCCTAGCACCAAAACCTAATACCCGGGTGTTACCTTCAGAAAGACCAAAAACCCCAAATATTCTTTTTTTTCATTTTTCATTTTTTTCTGGTCTAACTAACTCCAAAAGGTTGGAAAAGAGTTCCTACAAAGGTTTTGGACAGTGATTTTAACCCTAACGCCAAAAACCTTACCCTAGCCCCATAACCTAATACCCGGGTATAACCTTCAGGAAGACCGAACACCCCAAATACTTTTTTTCTTCATTTTTTGTTTTTTTGTTTTGGTGTAACTAACTCCAAAAGGTTGGAAAAGAGTTCCTACAAAGGTTTTGGACAGTGATTTTAACCCTAACGCCAAAAACCTTTAACCTTACCCTAGCCCCATGACCTAATACCCGGCTATTACCTTCAGGAAGCCCGAACACCCGAAATATTTCTTGTTCCTTTTTTTTTTCTTTTTTTGGTCTAACTCCAAAAGGTTGGAAAAGAGTTCCTACAAAGGTTTTGACAGTGATTTTAACCCTAACGCCAAAAACCTTAAACCTTACATTAGTCCCATAACCTTATACCAGGGTATTACCGTCAGAAAGCCCGAAAACCCCAAATATTTCTTTTTCATTTTACAATATTTTTTTTGGTGTAACTAACTCCAAAAGGTTGGAAAAGAGTTCCTACAAAGGTTTTGGACAGGGATTTTAACCCTAACGCCAAAAACCTTACCCTAGCCCCATAACCTAATACCCGGGTATTACCTTCAGGAAGCCCCAAAACCCCAAATATTTTTTTTTCATTTTTTGTTTTATTTTGGTCTAACTAACTCCAAAAGGTTGGAAAAGAGTTCCTACAAAGGTTTTGGACAGTGATTTTAACCCTAACGCCAAAAACCTTAAACCTTACCCTAGCCCCATAACCTAATACCCGGGTATTACCATCAGGAAGCCCGAACACCCCAAATATTTTTTTTTCACTTTTCGTTTTTTTTAGGTCTAACTAACTCCAAAAGGTTGGAAAAGAGTTCCTACAAAGGTTTTGGACAGTGATTTTAACCATAATGCCAAAAACCTTAAACCTTACCAAAGCCCCATAACCTAATACCTGGGTATTACCTTCAGAAAGCCCGAACACCCCAAATATTTCTTTTTCAAATTTCAATTTTTTTTTTGTTTAACTAACTCCAAAAGGTTGGAAAGGAGTTCCTACAAAGGTTTTGGACAGTGATTTTAACCCTAACGCCAAAAACCTTAAACCTTATCCTAGCCCCAAAACCTAATACCCGGGTGTTACCTTCAGAAAGACCGAAAACCCCAAATATTTTTTTTTTCATTTTTCATTTTTTTCTGGTCTAACTAACTCCAAAAGGTTGGAAAAGAGTTCCTACAAAGGTTTTGGACAGTGATTTTAACCCTAACGCCAAAAACCTTACCTTACTAGCCCCATAACCTAATACCCGGGTATTACCTTCAGGAAGACCGAACACCCCAAATACTTTTTTTCTTCATTTTTTGTTTTTTTGTTTTGGTGTAACTAACTCCAAAAGGTTGGAAAAGAGTTCCTACAAAGGTTTTGGACAGTGATTTTAACCCTAACGCCAAAAACCTTTAACCTTACCCTAGCCCCATGACCTAATACCCGGCTATTACCTTCAGGAAGCCCGAACACCCGAAATATTTCTTGTTCCTTTTTTTTTTCTTTTTTTGGTCTAACTCCAAAAGGTTGGAAAAGAGTTCCTACAAAGGTTTTGACAGTGATTTTAACCCTAACGCCAAAAACCTTAAACCTTACATTAGTCCCATAACCTTATACCAGGGTATTACCGTCAGAAAGCCCGAAAACCCCAAATATTTCTTTTTCATTTTACAATATTTTTTTTGGTGTAACTAACTCCAAAAGGTTGGAAAAGAGTTCCTACAAAGGTTTTGGACAGTGATTTTAACCCTAACGCCAAAAACCTTACCCTAGCCCCATAACCTAATACCCGGGTATTACCTTCAGGAAGCCCCAAAACCCCAAATATTTTTTTTTCATTTTTTGTTTTATTTTGGTCTAACTAACTCCAAAAGGTTGGAAAAGAGTTCCTACAAAGGTTTTGGACAGTGATTTTAACTCTAACGCCAAAATCCTTAAACCTTACCCTAGCCCCATAACCTAATACCCGGGTATTACCATCAGGAAGCCCGAACACCCCAAATATTTTTTTTTCACTTTTCGTTTTTTTTAGGTCTAACTAACTCCAAAAGGTTGGAAAAGAGTTCCTACAAAGGTTTTGGACAGTGATTTTAACCATAATGCCAAAAACCTTAAACCTTACCAAAGCCCCATAACCTAATACCTGGGTATTACCTTCAGGAAGCCCGAACACCCCAAATATTTCTTTTTCATATTTCAATTTTTTTTTTGGTTTAACTAACTCCAAAAGGTTGGAAAGGAGTTCCTACAAAGGTTTTGGACAGTGATTTTAACCCTAACGCCAAAAACCTTAAACCTTATCCTAGCCCCAAAACCTAATACCCGGGTGTTACCTTCAGAAAGACCAAAAACCCCAAATATTCTTTTTTTTCATTTTTCATTTTTTTCTGGTCTGACTAACTCCAAAAGGTTGGAAAAGAGTTCCTACAAAGGTTTTGGACAGTGATTTTAACCCTAACGCCAAAAACCTTACCCTAGCCCCATAACCTAATACCCGGGTATAACCTTCAGGAAGACCGAACACCCCAAATACTTTTTTTCTTCATTTTTTGTTTTTTTGTTTTGGTGTAACTAACTCCAAAAGGTTGGAAAAGAGTTCCTACAAAGGTTTTGGACAGTGATTTTAACCCTAACGCCAAAAACCTTTAACCTTACCCTAGCCCCATGACCTAATACCCGGCTATTACCTTCAGGAAGCCCGAACACCCGAAATATTTCTTGTTCCTTTTTTTTTTCTTTTTTTGGTCTAACTCCAAAAGGTTGGAAAAGAGTTCCTACAAAGGTTTTGACAGTGATTTTAACCCTAACGCCAAAAACCTTAAACCTTACATTAGTCCCATAACCTTATACCAGGGTATTACCGTCAGAAAGCCCGAAAACCCCAAATATTTCTTTTTCATTTTACAATATTTTTTTTGGTGTAACTAACTCCAAAAGGTTGGAAAAGAGTTCCTACAAAGGTTTTGGACAGTGATTTTAACCCTAACGCCAAAAACCTTAAACCTTACATTAGTCCCAAAACCTTATACCAGGGTATTACCTTCAGAAAGCCCGAAAACCCCAAATATTTTTTTTTCATTTTTTGTTTTATTTTTGTCTAACTAACTCCAAAAGGTTGGAAAATAGTTCCTACAAAGGTTTTGGACAGGGATTTTAACCCTAACGCCAAAAACCTTAAACCTTTTCCTAGCCCCATAACCTAAAACCCGGGTATTACCTTCAGAAAGCCCGAAAACCCCAAATTTTTTTTTTTCATTTTTCATTTCTTTCGGGTCTAACTAACTCCAAAACATTGGAAAAGAGTTCCTACAAAGGTTTTGGACAGTGATTTTAACCCTAACGCCAAAAAACTTAAACCTTACCCAAGCCCCATAACCTAATACCCGGGTATTACCTTCAGGAAGCCCGAACACCCCAAACATTTTTTTTTCATTTTTCGTTTTTTTTTTAGGTCTAACTAACTCCAAAAGGTTGGAAAAGAGTTCCTACAAAGGTTTTGGACAGTGATTTTAACCATAATGCCAAAAACCTTAAACCTTACCAAAGCCCCATAACCTAATACCTGGGTATTACCTTCAGGAAGCCCGAACACCCCAAATATTTCTTTTTCATTTTACAATTTTTTTTTGGTTTAACTAACTCCAAAAGGTTGGAAAGAAGTTCCTACAAAGGTTTTGGACAGTGATTTTAACCCTAACACCAAAAAACTTAAACCTTACCCTAGCCCCAAAACCTAATACCCGGGTGTTACCTTCAGAAAGCCCGAAAACCCCAAATATTTTTTTTTTCATTTTTCATTTTTTTTCTGGTCTAACTAACTCTAAAAGGTTGGAAAAGAGTTCCTACAAAGGTTTTGGACAGTGATTTTAACCCTTACGCCAAAAACCTGAAACCTTTCACTAGCCCCATAACCTAATACCCAGGTATTACCTTCAGGAAGCCCAAACACCCCAAATATTTCTTTTTCATTTTACAATTTTTTTTTTGGTGTAACTAACTCCAAAAGGTTGGAAAAGAGTTCCTACAAAGGTTTTGGACAGTGATTTTTACCCTAACGCCAAAAACCTTACCCTAGCCCCATAACCTAATACCCGGGTATTACCTTCAGGAAGACTGAACACCCCAAATATTTTTTTTTCATTTTTTGTTTTATTTTGGTCTAACTAACTCCAAAAGGTTGGAAAAGAGTTCCTACAAAGGTTTTGGACAGTGATTTTAACCCTAACGCCAAAAACCTTAAACCTTACCCTAGCCCCGTAACCTAATACCTGGGTATTACCTGCAGAAACCTTCAGAAAGCCCGAAAACCCCAAATATTTTTTTTTCATTTTTCATTTCTTTCCGGTCTAACTAACTCCAAAACATTGGAAAAGAGTTCCTACAAAGGTTTTGGACAGTGATTTTAACCCTAACGCCAAAATCCTTAAACCTTACCCTAGCCCCATAACCTAATACCCGGGTATTACCTTCAGGAAGCCCGAACACCCCAAATATTTTTTTTTCATTTTTCGTTTTTTTTAGGTCTAACTAACTCAACGAGTTCCTACAAAGGTTTTGGACAGTGATTTTAACCCTTACGCCAAAAACCTGAAACCTTTCACTAGCCCCATAACCTAATACCCAGGTATTACCTTCAGGAAGCCCAAACACCCCAAATATTTCTTTTTCATTTTTACAATTTTTTTTTTGGTGTAACTAACTCCAAAAGGTTGGAAAAGAGTTCCTACAAAGGTTTTGGACAGTGATTTTAACCCTAACGCCAAAAACCTTAAACCTTACCCTAGCCCCGTAACCTAATACCTGGGTATTACCTGCAGAAACCTTCAGAAAGCCCGAAAACCCCAAATATTTTTTTTTCATTTTTCATTTCTTTCCGGTCTAACTAACTCCAAAGCGTTGGAAAAGAGTTCCTACAAAGGTTTTGGACAGTGATTTTGACCCTAACGCCAAAAACCTTAAACCTTACCCTAGCCCCGTAACCTAATACCTGGGTATTACCTGCAGAAACCTTCAGAAAGCCCGAAAACCCCAAATATTTTTTTTTCATTTTTCATTTCTTTCCGGTCTAACTAACTCCAAAACGTTGGAAAAGAGTTCCTACAAAGGTTTTGGACAGTGATTTTAACCCTAACGCCAAAATCCTTAAACCTTACCCTAGCCCCATAACCTAATACCCGGGTATTACCTTCAGGAAGCCCGAACACCCCAAATATTTTTTTTTCATTTTTCGTTTTTTTTAGGTCTAACTAACTCCAAAAGGTTGGAAAAGAGTTCCTACAAAGGTTTTGGACAGTGATTTTAACCATAATGCCAAAAACCTTAAACCTTACCAAAGCCCCATAACCTAATACCTGGGTATTACCTGCAGGAAGCTCGAACACCCCAAATATTTCTTTTTCATATTTCAATTTTTTTTTTGGTTTAACTAACTCCAAAAGGTTGGAAAGGAGTTCCTACAAAGGTTTTGGACAGTGATTTTAACCCTAACGCCAAAAACCTTAAACCTTACCCTAGCCCCAAAACCTAATACCCGGGTGTTACCTTCAGAAAGACCGAAAACCCCAAATATTTTTTTTTTCATTTTTCATTTTTTTCTGGTCTAACTAACTCCAAAAGGTTGGAAAAGAGTTCCTACAAAGGTTTTGGACAGTGATTTTAACCCTAACGCAAAAAAACCTTACCCTAGCCCCATAACCTAATACCCAGGTATAACCTTCAGGAAGACCGAACACCCGAAATATTTCTTGTTCCTTTTTTTTTTCTTTTTTTGGTCTAACTAACTCCAAAAGGTTGGAAAAGAGTTCCTACAAAGGTTTTGGACAGTGATTTTAACCCTAACGCCAAAAACCTTACCCTAGCCCCATAACCTAATACCCGGGTATTACCTTCAGGAAGACTGAACACCCCAAATATTTTTTTTTTCATTTTTTGTTTTATTTTGGTCTAACTAACTCCAAAAGGTTGGAAAAGAGTTCCTACAAAGGTTTTGGACAGTGATTTTAACCCTAACGCCAAAAACCTTAAACCTTACCCTAGCCCCGTAACCTAATACCTGGGTATTACCTGCAGAAACCTTCAGAAAGCCCGAAAACCCCAAATATTTTTTTTTCATTTTTCATTTCTTTCCGGTCTAACTAACTCCAAAACATTGGAAAAGAGTTCCTACAAAGGTTTTGGACAGTGATTTTAACCCTAACGCCAAAATCCTTAAACCTTACCCTAGCCCCATAACCTAATACCCGGGTATTACCTTCAGGAAGCCCGAACACCCCAAATATTTTTTTTTCATTTTTCGTTTTTTTTAGGTCTAACTAACTCCACGAGTTCCTACAAAGGTTTTGGACAGTGATTTTAACCCTTACGCCAAAAACCTGAAACCTTTCACTAGCCCCATAACCTAATACCCAGGTATTACCTTCAGGAAGCCCAAACACCCCAAATATTTCTTTTTCATTTTACAATTTTTTTTTTGGTGTAACTAACTCCAAAAGGTTGGAAAAGAGTTCCTACAAAGGTTTTGGACAGTGATTTTAACCCTAACGCCAAAAACCTTAAACCTTACCCTAGCCCCGTAACCTAATACCTGGGTATTACCTGCAGAAACCTTCAGAAAGCCCGAAAACCCCAAATATTTTTTTTTCATTTTTCATTTCTTTCCGGTCTAACTAACTCCAAAACGTTGGAAAAGAGTTCCTACAAAGGTTTTGGACAGTGATTTTAACCCTAACGCCAAAAACCTTAAACCTTACCCTAGCCCCGTAACCTAATACCTGGGTATTACCTGCAGAAACCTTCAGAAAGCCCGAAAACCCCAAATATTTTTTTTTCATTTTTCATTTCTTTCCGGTCTAACTAACTCCAAAACGTTGGAAAAGAGTTCCTACAAAGGTTTTGGACAGTGATTTTAACCCTAACGCCAAAATCCTTAAACCTTACCCTAGCCCCATAACCTAATACCCGGGTATTACCTTCAGGAAGCCCGAACACCCCAAATATTTTTTTTTCATTTTTCGTTTTTTTTAGGTCTAACTAACTCCAAAAGGTTGGAAAAGAGTTCCTACAAAGGTTTTGGACAGTGATTTTAACCATAATGCCAAAAACCTTAAACCTTACCAAAGCCCCATAACCTAATACCTGGGTATTACCTGCAGGAAGCTCGAACACCCCAAATATTTCTTTTTCATATTTCAATTTTTTTTTTGGTTTAACTAACTCCAAAAGGTTGGAAAAGGAGTTCCTACAAAGGTTTTGGACAGTGATTTTAACCCTAACGCCAAAAACCTTAAACCTTACCCTAGCCCCAAAACCTAATACCCGGGTGTTACCTTCAGAAAGACCGAAAACCCCAAATATTTTTTTTTTTCATTTTTCATTTTTTTCTGGTCTAACTAACTCCAAAAGGTTGGAAAAGAGTTCCTACAAAGGTTTTGGACAGTGATTTTAACCCTAACGCAAAAAAACCTTACCCTAGCCCCATAACCTAATACCCAGGTATAACCTTCAGGAAGACCGAACACCCGAAATATTTCTTGTTCCTTTTTTTTTTCTTTTTTTGGTCTAACTAACTCCAAAAGGTTGGAAAAGAGTTCCTACAAAGGTTTTGACAGTGATTTTAACCCTAACGCCAAAAACCTTAAACCTTACCCTAGTCCCATAACCTTATACCAGGGTATTACCTTCAGAAAGCCCGAAAACCCCAAATATTTCTTTTTCATTTTACAATTTTTTTTTTGGTGTAACTAACTCCAAAAGGTTGGAAAAGAGTTCCTACAAAGGTTTTGGACAGTGATTTTAACCCTAACGCCAAAAACCTTAAACCTTACCCTAGCCCCAAAACCTAATACCCGGGTGTTACCTTCAGAAAGCCCGAAAACCCCAAATATTTCTTGTTCCTTTTTTTTTTCTTTTTTTGGTCTAACTAACTCCAAAAGGTTGGAAAAGAGTTCCTACAAAGGTTTTGGACAGTGATTTTAACCCTAACGCCAAAAACCTTAAACCTTACATTAGTCCCATAACCTTATACCAGGGTATTACCTTCAGAAAGCCCGAAAACCCCAAATATTTCTTTTTCATTTTACAATATTTTTTTTGGTGTAACTAACTCCAAAAGGTTGGAAAAGAGTTCCTACAAAGGTTTTGGACAGTGATTTTAACCCTAACGCCAAAAACCTTAAACCTTACATTAGTCCCAAAACCTTATACCCAGGGTATTACCTTCAGAAAGCCCGAAAACCCCAAATATTTTTTTTTCATTTTTCATTTCTTTTGGGTCTAACTAACTCCAAAACGTTGGAAAAGAGTTCCTACAAAGGTTTTGGACAGTGATTTTAACCATAATGCCAAAAACCTTAAACCTTACCAAAGCCCCATAACCTAATACCTGGGTATTACCTTCAGGAAGCCCGAACACCCCAAATATTTCTTTTTCATTTTACAATTTTTTTTTGGTTCAACTAACTCCAAAAGGTTGGAAAGAAGTTCCTACAAAGGTTTTGGACAGTGATTTTAACCCTAACACCAAAAAACTTAAACCTTACCCTAGCCCCAAAACCTAATACCCGGGTGTTACCTTCAGAAAGACCGAAAACCCCAAATATTTTTTTTTTTCATTTTTCATTTTTTTCTGGTCTAACTAACTCCAAAAGGTTGGAAAAGAGTTCCTACAAAGGTTTTGGACAGTGATTTTAACCCTAACGCCAAAAACCTTACCCTAGCCCCATAACCTAATACCCGGGTATTACCTTCAGGAAGACTGAACACCCCAAATATTTTTTTTTCATTTTTTGTTTTATTTTGGTCTAACTAACTCCAAAAGGTTGGAAAAGAGTTCCTACAAAGGTTTTGGACAGTGATTTTAACCCTAACGCCAAAAACCTTAAACCTTACCCTAGCCCCGTAACCTAATACCTGGGTATTACCTGCAGAAACCTTCAGAAAGCCCGAAAACCCCAAATATTTTTTTTTCATTTTTCATTTCTTTCCGGTCTAACTAACTCCAAAACATTGGAAAAGAGTTCCTACAAAGGTTTTGGACAGTGATTTTAACCCTAACGCCAAAATCCTTAAACCTTACCCTAGCCCCATAACCTAATACCCGGGTATTACCTTCAGGAAGCCCGAACACCCCAAATATTTTTTTTTCATTTTTCGTTTTTTTTAGGTCTAACTAACTCAACGAGTTCCTACAAAGGTTTTGGACAGTGATTTTAACCCTTACGCCAAAAACCTGAAACCTTTCACTAGCCCCATAACCTAATACCCAGGTATTACCTTCAGGAAGCCCAAACACCCCAAATATTTCTTTTTCATTTTACAATTTTTTTTTTGGTGTAACTAACTCCAAAAGGTTGGAAAAGAGTTCCTACAGAGGTTTTGGACAGTGATTTTAACCCTAATGCAAAAAAACCTTAAACCATACCAAAGCCCCATAACCTAATACCTGGGTATTACCTGCAGAAACCTTCAGAAAGCCCGAAAACCCCAAATATTTTTTTTTCATTTTTCATTTCTTTCCGGTCTAACTAACTCCAAAACGTTGGAAAAGAGTTCCTACAAAGGTTTTGGACAGTGATTTTAACCCTAACGCCAAAAACCTTAAACCTTACCCTAGCCCCGTAACCTAATACCTGGGTTATTACCTTCAGAAAGCCCGAAAACCCCAAATATTTTTTTTTCATTTTTCATTTCTTTCCGGTCTAACTAACTCCAAAACGTTGGAAAAGAGTTCCTACAAAGGTTTTGGACAGTGATTTTAACCCTAACGCCAAAATCCTTAAACCTTACCCTAGCCCCATAACCTAATACCCGGGTATTACCTTCAGGAAGCCCGAACACCCCAAATATTTTTTTTTCATTTTTCGTTTTTTTTAGGTCTAACTAACTCCAAAAGGTTGGAAAAGAGTTCCTACAAAGGTTTTGGACAGTGATTTTAACCATAATGCCAAAAACCTTAAACCTTACCAAAGCCCCATAACCTAATACCTGGGTATTACCTGCAGGAAGCCCGAACACCCCAAATATTTCTTTTTCATATTTCAATTTTTTTTTGGTTTAACTAACTCCAAAAGGTTGGAAAGGAGTTCCTACAAAGGTTTTGGACAGTGATTTTAACCCTAACGCCAAAAACCTTAAACCTTACCCTAGCCCCAAAACCTAATACCCGGGTGTTACCTTCAGAAAGACCGAAAACCCCAAATATTTTTTTTTTCATTTTTCATTTTTTTCTGGTCTAACTAACTCCAAAAGGTTGGAAAAGAGTTCCTACAAAGGTTTTGGACAGTGATTTTAACCCTAACGCCAAAAAAACCTTACCCTAGCCCCATAACCTAATACCCAGGTATAACCTTCAGGAAGACCGAACACCCCAAATATTTCTTTTTTTTTTTTTTTTTTTTTGGTCTAACTAACTCCAAAAGGTTGGAAAAGAGTTCCTACAAAGGTTTTGGACAGTGATTTTAACCCTAACGCCAAAAACCTTAAACCTTACCCTAGTCCCATAACCTTATACCAGGGTATTACCTTCAGAAAGCCCGAAAACCCCAAATATTTCTTTTTCATTTTACAATTTTTTTTTTGGTGTAACTAACTCCAAAAGGTTGGAAAAGAGTTCCTACAAAGGTTTTGGACAGTGATTTTAACCCTAACGCCAAAAACCTTAAACCTTACCCTAGCCCCAAAACCTAATACCCGGGTGTTACCTTCAGAAAGCCCGAAAACCCCAAATATTTCTTGTTCCTTTTTTTTTTCTTTTTTTGGTGTAACTAACTCCAAAAGGTTGGAAAAGAGTTCCTACAAAGGTTTTGGACAGTGATTTTAACCCTAACGCCAAAAACCTTAAACCTTACATTAGTCCCATAACCTTATACCAGGGTATTACCTTCAGAAAGCCCGAAAACCCCAAATATTTCTTTTTCATTTTACAATATTTTTTTTGGTGTAACTAACTCCAAAAGGTTGGAAAAGAGTTCCTACAAAGGTTTTGGACAGTGATTTTAACCCTAACGCCAAAAACCTTAAACCTTACATTAGTCCCAAAACCTTATACCAGGGTATTACCTTCAGAAAGCCCGAAAACCCCCAATATTTTTTTTTCATTTTTCATTTCTTTTGGGTCTAACTAACTCCAAAACGTTGGAAAAGAGTTCCTACAAAGGTTTTGGACAGTGATTTTAACCATAATGCCAAAAACCTTAAACCTTACCAAAGCCCCATAACCTAATACCTGGGTATTACCTTCAGGAAGCCCGAACACCCCAAATATTTCTTTTTCATTTTACAATTTTTTTTTGGTTCAACTAACTCCAAAAGGTTGGAAAGAAGTTCCTACAAAGGTTTTGGACAGTGATTTTAACCCTAACACCAAAAAACTTAAACCTTACCCTAGCCCCAAAACCTAATACCCGGGTGTTACCTTCAGAAAGACCGAAAACCCCAAATATTTTTTTTTTCATTTTTCATTTTTTTCTGGTCTAACTAACTCCAAAAGGTTGGAAAAGAGTTCCTACAAAGGTTTTGGACAGTGATTTTAACCCTAACGCCAAAAACCTTACCCTAGCCCCATAACCTAATACCCAGGTATAACCTTCAGGAAGCCCGAACACCCCAAATATTTCTTTTTCATTTTTTGTTTTTTTTTTGGTGTAACTAACTCCAAAAGGTTGGAAAAGAGTTCCTACAAAGGTTTTGGACAGTGATTTTAACCCTAACGCCAAAAACCTTTAACCTTACCCTAGCCCCATGACCTAATACCTGGGTATTACCTTCAGGAAGCCCGAACACCCGCAATATTTCTTGTTCCTTTTTTTTTTCTTTTTTTGGTGTAACTAACTCCAAAAGGTTGGAAAAGAGTTCCTACAAAGGTTTTGGACAGTGATTTTAACCCTAACGCCAAAAACCTTAAACCTTACCTAGTCCCATAACCTAATACCAGGGTATTACCTTCAGAAAGCCCGAAAACCCCAAATATTTCTTTTTCATTTTACAATATTTTTTTTGGTGTAACTAACTCCAAAAGGTTGGAAAAGAGTTCCTACAAAGGTTTTGGACAGTGATTTTAACCCTAACGCCAAAAACCTTAAACCTTACATTAGTCCCAAAACCTTATACCAGGGTATTACCTTCAGAAAGCACGAAAACCCCAAATATTTTTTTTTCATTTTTCATTTCTTTTGGGTCTAACTCCAAAAGGTTGAAAAAAAGTTCCTACAAAGGTTTTGGACAGTGATTTTAACCCACCATGCCAAAAACCTTAAACCTTACCAAAGCCCCATAACCTAATACCTGGGTATTACCTTCAGGAAGCCCGAACACCCCAAATATTTCTTTTTCATTTTACAATTTTTTTTTTGGTTCAACTAACTCCAAAAGGTTGGAAAGAAGTTCCTACAAAGGTTTTGGACAGTGATTTTAACCCTAACACCAAAAAACTTAAACCTTACCCTAGCCCCAAAACCTAATACCCGGGTGTTACCTTCAGAAAGCCCGAAAACCCCAAATATTTTTTTTTTCATTTTTCATTTTTTTTCTGGTCTAACTAACTCCAAAAGGTTGGAAAAGAGTTCCTACAAAGGTTTTGGACAGTGATTTTAACCCTTACGCCAAAAACCTTAAACCTTTCACTAGCCCCATAACCTAATACCCGGGTATTACCTTCAGGAAGCCCAAACACCCCAAATATTTCTTTTTCATTTTACAATTTTTTTTTTGGTGTAACTAACTCCAAAAGGTTGGAAAAGATTTCCTACAAAGGTTTTGGACAGTGATTTTAACCCTAACGCCAAAAACCTTACCCTAGCCCCATAACCTAATACCCGGGTATTACCTTCAGGAAGACTGAACACCCCAAATATTTTTTTTTCATTTTTTGTTTTATTTTGGTCTAACTAACTCCAAAAGGTTGGAAAAGAGTTCCTACAAAGGTTTTGGACAGTGATTTTAACCCTAACGCCAAAAACCTTAAACCTTACCCTAGCCCCGTAACCTAATACCCGGGTGTTACCTTCAGAAAGACCGAAAACCCCAAATATTTTTTTTTTTCATTTTTCATTTTTTTCTGGTCTAACTAACTCCAAAAGGTTGGAAAAGAGTTCCTACAAAGGTTTTGGACAGTGATTTTAACCCTAACGCCAAAAACCTTACCCTAGCCCCATAACCTAATACCCGGGTATAACCTTCAGGAAGACCGAACACCCCAAATATTTTTTTTTCATTTTTTGTTTTTTTTTTTGGTGTAACTAACTCCAAAAGGTTGGAAAAGAGTTCCTACAAAGGTTTTGGACAGTGATTTTAACCCTAACGCCAAAAACCTTTAACCTTACCCTAGCCCCATGACCTAATACCCGGGTATTACCTTCAGGAAGCCCGAACACCCGAAATATTTCTTGTTCCTTTTTTTTTTCTTTTTTTGGTCTAACTAACTCCAAAAGGTTGGAAAAGAGTTCCTACAAAGGTTTTGACAGTGATTTTAACCCTAACGCCAAAAACCTTAAACCTTACATTAGTCCCATAACCTTATACCAGGGTATTACCTTCAGAAAGCCCGAAAACCCCAAATATTTCTTTTTCATTTTACAATATTTTTTTTGGTGTAACTAACTCCAAAAGGTTGGAAAAGAGTTCCTACAAAGGTTTTGGACAGTGATTTTAACCCTAACGCCAAAAACCTTAAACCTTACATTAGTCCCAAAACCTTATACCAGGGTATTACCTTCAGAAAGCCCGAAAACCCCAAATATTTTTTTTTCATTTTTCATTTCTTTTGGGTCTAACTAACTCCAAAACGTTGGAAAAGAGTTCCTACAAAGGTTTTGGACAGTGATTTTAACCATAATGCCAAAAACCTTAAACCTTACCAAAGCCCCATAACCTAATACCTGGGTATTACCTTCAGGAAGCCCGAACACCCCAAATATTTCTTTTTCATTTTACAATTTTTTTTTGGTTCAACTAACTCCAAAAGGTTGGAAAGAAGTTCCTACAAAGGTTTTGGACAGTGATTTTAACCCTAACACCAAAAAACTTAAACCTTACCCTAGCCCCAAAACCTAATACCCGGGTGTTACCTTCAGAAAGCCCGAAAACCCCAAATATTTTTTTTTTCATTTTTCATTTTTTTTCTGGTCTAACTAACTCTAAAAGGTTGGAAAAGAGTTCCTTCAAAGGTGTTGGACAGTGATTTTAACCCTTACGCCAAAAACCTGAAACCTTTCACTAGCCCCATAACCTAATACCCGGGTATTACCTTCAGGAAGCCCAAACACCCCAAATATTTCTTTTTCATTTTACAATTTTTTTTTTGGTGTAACTAACTCCAAAAGGTTGGAAAAGATTTCCTACAAAGGTTTTGGACAGTGATTTTAACCCTAACGCCAAAAACCTTACCCTAGCCCCATAACCTAATACCCGGGTATTACCTTCAGGAAGACTGAACACCCCAAATATTTTTTTTTCATTTTTTGTTTTATTTTGGTCTAACTAACTCCAAAAGGTTGGAAAAGAGTTCCTACAAAGGTTTTGGACAGTGATTTTAACCCTAACGCCAAAAACCTTAAACCTTACCCTAGCCCCGTAACCTAATACCCGGGTATTACCTTCAGAAAGCCCGAAAACCCCAAATATTTTTTTTTCATTTTTCATTTCTTTCCGGTCTAACTAACTCCAAAACGTTGGAAAAGAGTTCCTACAAAGGTTTTGGACAGTGATTTTAACCCTAACGCCAAAATCCTTAAACCTTACCCTAGCCCCATAACCTAATACCCGGGTATTACCTTCAGGAAGCCCGAACACCCCAAATAGTTTTTTTTCATTTTTCGTTTTTTTTAGGTCTAACTAACTCCAAAAGGTTGGAAAAGAGTTCCTACAAAGGTTTTGGACAGTGATTTTAACCATAATGCCAAAAACCTTAAACCTTACCAAAGCCCCATAACCTAATACCTGGGTATTACCTGCAGGAAGCCCGAACACCCCAAATATTTCTTTTTCATATTTCAATTTTTTTTTTGGTTTAACTAACTCCAAAAGGTTGGAAAGGAGTTCCTACAAAGGTTTTGGACAGTGATTTTAACCCTAACGCCAAAAACCTTAAACCTTACCCTAGCCCTAAAACCTAAAACCCGGGTGTTACCTTCAGAAAGCCCGAAAACCCCAAATATTTTTTTTTTCATTTTTCATTTTTTTCTGGTCTAACTAACTCCAGAAGGTTGGAAAAGAGTTCCTACAAAGGTTTTGGACAGTGATTTTAACCCTAACACCAAAAACCTTACCCTAGCCCCATAACCTAAAACCCGGGTATTACCTTCAGAAAGCCCGAAAACCCCCAATATTTTTTTTTCATTTTTCATATCTTTTGGGTCTAACTAACTCCAAAACGTTGGAAAAGAGTTGCTACAAAGGTTTTGGACAGTGATTTTAACCCTAACGCCAAAAACCTTAAACCTTTCCCTAGCCCCGTAACCTAATACCCAGGTATTACCTTCAGAAAGCCCGAAAACCCCAAATATTTCTTTTTCATTTTACAATATTTTTTTTGGTGTAACTAACTCCAAAAGGTTGGAAAAGAGTTCCTACAAAGGTTTTGGACAGTGATTTTAACCCTAACGCCAAAACCTTAAACCTTACCCTAGCCCCATATTACCATCAGGAAGCCCGAACACCCCAAATATTTTTTTTTCACTTTTCGTTTTTTTTAGGTCTAACTAACTCCAAAAGGTTGGAAAAGAGTTCCTACAAAGGTTTTGGACAGTGATTTTAACCATAATGCCAAAAACCTTAAACCTTACCAAAGCCCCATAACCTAATACCTGGGTATTACCTTCAGGAAGCCCGAACACCCCAAATATTTCTTTTTCATATTTCAATTTTTTTTTTGGTTTAACTAACTCCAAAAGGTTGGAAAGGAGTTCCTACAAAGGTTTTGGACAGTGATTTTAACCCTAACGCCAAAAACCTTAAACCTTACCCTAGCCCCAAAACCTAATACCCGGGTGTTACCTTCAGAAAGACCGAAAACCCCAAATATTTTTTTTCATTTTTCATTTTTTTCTGGTCTAACTAACTCCAAAAGGTTGGAAAAGAGTTCCTACAAAGGTTTTGGACAGTGATTTTAACCATAATGCCAAAAACCTTAAACCTTACCAAAGCCCCATAACCTAATACCCGGGTATTACCTTCAGGAAGCCCGAACACCCCAAATATTTCTTTTTCATTTTACAATTTTTTTTGGTTTAACTAACTCCAAAAGGTTGGAAAGAAGTTCCTACAAAGGTTTTGGACAGTGATTTTAACCCTAACACCAAAAAACTTAAACCTTACCCTAGCCCCAAAACCTAATACCCGGGTGTTACCTTCAGAAAGCCCGAAAACCCCAAATATTTTTTTTTTCATTTTTCATTTTTTTCTGGTCTAACTAACTCCAAAAGGTTGGAAAAGAGTTCCTACAAAGGTTTTGGACAGTGATTTTAACCCTTACGCCAAAAACCTGAAACCTTTCACTAGCCCCATAACCTAATACCCGGGTATTACCTTCAGGAAGCCCAAACACCCCAAATATTTCTTTTTCATTTTAAAATTTTTTTTTGGTGTAACTAACTCCAAAAGGTTGGAAAAGAGTTCCTACAAAGGTTTTGGACAGTGATTTTAACCCTAACGCCAAAAACCTTACCCTAGCCCCATAACCTAATACCCGGGTATTACCTTCAGGAAGCCCGAACACCCCAAATATTTTTTTTTTCATTTTTTGTTTTATTTTGGTCTAACTAACTCCAAAAGGTTGGAAAAGAGTTCCTACAAAGGTTTTGGACAGGGATTTTAGCCCTAACGCTAAAAAACTTAAACCTTACCCTAGCCCCAAAACCTAATACTTCGGGTATTACCTTCAGGAAGCCCGAAAACCCCAAATATTTTTTTTTCATTTTTCATTTTTTTTTTTTGGTGTAACTAACTCCATAAGGTCTGAAAAATGTTCCTAAAAAGGTTTTGGACAGTGATTTTAACCCTAACGCCAAAAACCTTAAACCTTTCCCTAGCCCCATAATCTAATACCTTCAGGAAGACCGAAAACCCCAAATATTTTTTTTTCATTTTTCGTTTATTTTTGGTCTAACTAACTCCAAAAGGTTGGAAAAGAGTTGCTACAAAGGTTTTGGACAGGGATTTTAACCCTCACGCCAAAAACCTTAAACCTGACCCTAGCCCCATTACCCTTATACCTGGGTATTACCTTCAGGAAGCCCGAACACCCCAAATATGTTTTTTTATTTTTGATTTCTTTTTGGTCTAACTAACTCCAAAAGGTTGGAAAAGAGTTCCTACAAAGGTTTTGGACAGTGATTTTAACCCGAACTCCAAAAACATTTAAACCTTACCCTAGCCCCATTACCTAATACCCGGGTATTACCTTCAGGAAGCCTGAAAACCCCAAATATTTCTTGTTCCTTTTTTTTTTCTTTTTTTGGTGTAACTAACTCCAAAAGGTTGGAAAAGAGTTCCTACAAAGGTTTTGGACAGTGATTTTAACCCTAACGCCAAAAACCTTAAACCTAACATTAGTCCCAAAACCTTATACCAGGGTATTACCTTCAGAAAGCCCGAAAACCCCAAATATTTTTTTTTCATTTTTCATTTCTTTTGGGTCTAACTAACTCCATAACGTTGGAAAAGAGTTCCTACAAAGGTTTTGGACAGTGATTTTAACCCTAACACCAAAAAAATTAAACCTTACCCTAGCCCTAAAACCTAAAACCCGGGTGTTACCTTCAGGAAGCCCGAAAACCCCAAATATTTTTTTTTTCATTTTTCATTTTTTTCTGGTCTAACTAACTCCAGAAGGTTGGAAAAGAGTTCCTACAAAGGTTTTGGACAGTGATTTTAACCCTAACGCCAAAAACCTTACCCTAGCCCCATAACCTAAAACCCGGGTATTACCTTCAGAAAGCCCGAAAACCCCCAATATTTTTTTTTCATTTTTCATATCTTTTGGGTCTAACTAACTCCAAAACGTTGGAAAAGAGTTGCTACAAAGGTTTTGGACAGTGATTTTAACCCTAACGCCAAAAACCTTAAACCTTTCCCTAGCCCCGTAACCTAATACCCGGGTATTACCTTCAGAAAGCCCGAAAACCCCAAATATTTCTTTTTCATTTTACAATATTTTTTTTGGAGAAACTAACTCCAAAAGGTTGGAAAAGAGTTCCTACAAAGGTTTTGGACAGTGATTTTAACCCTAACGCCAAAATCCTTAAACCTTTCCCTAGCCCCGTAACCTAATACCCGGGTATTACCTTCAGAAAGCCCGAAAACCCCAAATATTTCTTTTTCATTTTACAATATTTTTTTTGGTGTAACTAACTCCAAAAGGTTGGAAAAGAGTTCCTACAAAGGTTTTGGACAGTGATTTTAACCCTAACGCCAAAACCTTAAACCTTACCCTAGCCCCATATTACCATCAGGAAGCCCGAACACCCCAAATATTTTTTTTTCACTTTTCGTTTTTTTTAGGTCTAACTAACTCCAAAAGGTTGGAAAAGAGTTCCTACAAAGGTTTTGGACAGTGATTTTAACCATAATGCCAAAAACCTTAAACCTTACCAAAGCCCCATAACCTAATACCTGGGTATTACCTTCAGGAAGCCCGAACACCCCAAATATTTCTTTTTCATATTTCAATTTTTTTTTTGGTTTAACTAACTCCAAAAGGTTGGAAAGGAGTTCCTACAAAGGTTTTGGACAGTGATTTTTACCCTAACGCCAAAAACCTTAAACCTTACCCTAGCCCCAAAACCTAATACCCGGGTGTTACCTTCAGAAAGACCCAAAACCCCAAATATTTTTTTTTCATTTTTCATTTTTTTCTGGTCTAACTAACTCCAAAAGGTTGGAAAAGAGTTCCTACAAAGGTTTTGGACAGTGATTTTAACCCTAACGCCAAAAACCTTACCCTAGCCCCATAACCTAATACCCGGGTATAACCTTCAGGAAGACCGAACACCCCAAATATTTTTTTTTCATTTTTTTTTTTTTTTTGGTGTAACTAACTCCAAAAGTTGGAAAAGAGTTCCTACAAAGGTTTTGGACAGTGATTTTAACCCTAACGCCAAAAACCTTTAACCTTACCCTAGCCCCATGACCTAATACCCGGCTATTACCTTCAGGAAGCCCGAACACCCCAAATATTTCTTGTTCCTTTTTTTTTTTTTTTGGTCTAACTAACTCCAAAAGGTTGGAAAAGAGTTCCTACAAAGGTTTTGACAGTGATTTTAACCCTAACGCCAAAAACCTTAAACCTTACATTAGTCCCATAACCTTATACCCGGGTATTACCTTCAGGAAGCCCGAACACCCCAAATATTTCTTTTTCATTTTACAATTTTTTTTTTTGGTGTTACTAACTCCAAAAGGTTGGAAAAGAGTTCCTACAAAGGTTTTGGACAGTGATTTTAACCCTAACGCCAAAAACCTTACCCTAGCCCCATAACCTAATACCCGGGTATTACCTTCAGGAAGCCCGAACACCCCAAATATGTTTTTTTCATTTTTCATTTTTTTTTTGGTGTAACTAACTCCATAAGGTCTGAAAAATGTTCCTAAAAAGGTTTTGGACAGTGATTTTAACCCTAACACCAAAAAACTTAAACCTTACCCTAGCCCCAAAACCTAATACCCGGGTGTTACCTTCAGAAAGCCCGAAAACCCCAAATATTTTTTTTTTCATTTTTCACTTTTTTTCTGGTCTAACTAACCCCAAAAGGTTGGAAAAGAGTTCCTACAAAGGTTTTGGACAGTGATTTTAACCCTAACGCCAAAAACCTTACCCTAGCCCCATAACCTAAAACCCGGGTATTACCTTCAGAAAGCCCGAAAACCCCCAATATTTTTTTTTCATTTTTCATATCCTTCGGGTTTAACTAACTCCAAAACGTTGGAAAAGAGTTGCTACAAAGGTTTTGGACAGTGATTTTAACCCTAACGCCAAAAACCTTAAACCTTACCCTAGCCCCATAACCTAATACCCGGGTATTACCTTCAGGAAGCCCGAACACCCAAAATATTTCTTTTTCATTTTACAATTTTTTTAGGTCTAACTAACTCCAAAAGGTTGGAAAAGAGTTCCTACAAAGGTTTTGGACAGTGATTTTAACCATAATGCCAAAAACCTTAAACCTTACCAAAGCCCCATAACCTAATACCCGGGTATTACCTTCAGGAAGACCGAAAACCCCAAATATTTTTTTTTCATTTTTTGTTTTATTTTGGTCTAACTAACTCCAAAAGGTTGGAAAAGAGTTCCTACAAAGGTTTTGGACAGTGATTTTAACCCTAACGCCAAAAACCTTAAACCTTACATTAGTCCCAAAACCTTATACCAGGGTATTACCTTCAGAAAGCCCGAAAACCCCAAATATTTTTTTTTCATTTTTCATTTCTTTTGGGTCTAACTAACTCCAAAACGTTGGAAAAGAGTTCCTTCAAAGGTTTTGGACAGTGATTTTAACCCTAACACCAAAAAACTTAAACCTTACCCTAGCCCCAAAACCTAATACCCGGGTATTACCTTCAGGAAGCCCGAACACCCCAAATATTTTTTTTTCATTTTTCATATCTTTCGGGTCTAACTAACTCCAAAACGTTGGAAAAGAGTTGCTACAAAGGTTTTGGACAGTGATTTTAACCCTAACGCCAAAAACCTTAAACCTTACCCTAGCCCCATAACCTAAAACCCGGGTATTACCTTCAGAAAGCCCGAAAACCCCCAATATTTTTTTTTCATTTTTCATATCTTTCGGGTCTAACTAACTCCAAAACGTTGGAAAAGAGTTGCTACAAAGGTTTTGGACAGTGATTTTAACCCTAACGCCAAAAACCTTAAACCTTTCCCTAGCCCCATAACCTAATACCCGGGTATTACCTTCAGGAAGCCCGAACACCCCAAATATTTTTTTTTCATTTTTTGTTTTATTTTGGTCTAACTAACTCCAAAAGGTTGGAAAAGAGTTCCTACAAAGGTTTTGGACAGGGATTTTAGCCCTAACGCTAAAAAACTTAAACCTTACCCTAGCCCCAAAACCTAATACCCGGGTATTACCTTCAGGAAGCCCGAACACCCCAAATATTTTTTTTTCATTTTTCATTTTTTTTTTGGTGTAACTAACTCCATAAGGTCTGAAAAATGTTCCTAAAAAGGTTTTGGACAGTGATTTTAACCCTAACGCCAAAAACCTTAAACCTTTCCCTAGCCCCATAATCTAATACCTTCAGGAAGACCGAAAACCCCAAATATTTCTTTTTCATTTTTCGTTTATTTTTGGTGTAACTAACTCCAAAAGGTTGGAAAAGAGTTGCTACAAAGGTTTTGGACAGGGATTTTAACCCTCACGCCAAAAACCTTAAACCTGACCCTAACCCCATTACCCTTATACCTGGGTATTACCTTCAAGAAGCCCGAACACCCCAAATATGTTTTTTTATTTTTGATTTCTTTTTGGTCTAACTAACTCCAAAAGGTTGGAAAAGAGTTCCTACAAAGGTTTTGGACAGTGATTTTAACCCGAACTCCAAAAACATTTAAACCTTACCCTAGCCCCATTACCTAATACCCGGGTATTACCTTCAGGAAGCCCGAAAACCCCAAATATTTCTTGTTCCTTTTTTTTTTCTTTTTTTGGTGTAACTAACTCCAAAAGGTTGGAAAAGAGTTCCTACAAAGGTTTTGGACAGTGATTTTAACCCTAACGCCAAAAACCTTAAACCTTACATTAGTCCCAAAACCTTATACCAGGGTATTACCTTCAGAAAGCCCGAAAACCCCAAATATTTTTTTTTCATTTTTCATTTCTTTTGGGTCTAACTAACTCCATAACGTTGGAAAAGAGTTCCTACAAAGGTTTTGGACAGTGATTTTAACCCTAACACCAAAAAACTTAAACCTTACCCTAGCCCCAAAACCTAATACCCGGGTGTTACCTTCAGAAAGCCCGAAAACCCCAAATATTTTTTTTTTCATTTTTCATTTTTTTCTGGTCTAACTAACCCCAAAAGGTTGGAAAAGAGTTCCTACAAAGGTTTTGGACAGTGATTTTAACCCTAACGCCAAAAACCTTACCCTAGCCCCATAACCTAAAACCCGGGTATTACCTTCAGAAAGCCCGAAAACCCCCAATATTTTTTTTTCATTTTTCATATCTTTCGGGTTTAGCTAACTCCAAAACGTTGGAAAAGAGTTGCTACAAAGGTTTTGGACAGTGATTTTAACCCTAACGCCAAAAACCTTAAACCTTACCCTAGCCCCATGACCTAATACCCGGGTATTACCTTCAGAAAGCCCGAAAACCCCAAATATTTCTTTTTCATTTTACAATATTTTTTTTGGAGTAACTAACTCCAAAAGGTTGGAAAAGAGTTCCTACAAAGGTTTTGGACAGTGATTTTAACCCTAACGCCAAAATCCTTAAACCTTTCCCTAGCCCCGTAACCTAATACCCGGGTATTACCTTCAGAAAGCCCGAAAACCCCAAATATTTCTTTTTCATTTTACAATATTTTTTTTGGTGTAACTAACTCCAAAAGGTTGGAAAAGAGTTCCTACAAAGGTTTTGGACAGTGATTTTAACCCTAACGCCAAAACCTTAAACCTTACCCTAGCCCCATATTACCATCAGGAAGCCCGAACACCCCAAATATTTTTTTTTCACTTTCCGTTTTTTTTAGGTCTAACTAACTCCAAAAGGTTGGAAAAGAGTTCCTACAAAGGTTTTGGACAGTGATTTTAACCATAATGCCAAAAACCTTAAACCTTACCAAAGCCCCATAACCTAATACCTGGGTATTACCTTCAGGAAGCCCGAACACCCCAAATATTTCTTTTTCATATTTCAATTTTTTTTTTGGTTTAACTAACTCCAAAAGGTTGGAAAGGAGTTCCTACAAAGGTTTTGGACAGTGATTTTAACCCTAACGCCAAAAACCTTAAACCTCACCCTAGCCCCAAAACCTAATACCCGGGTGTTACCTTCAGAAAGACCGAAAACCCCAAATATTTTTTTTTTCATTTTTCATTTTTTTCTGGTCTAACTAACTCCAAAAGGTTGGAAAAGAGTTCCTACAAAGGTTTTGGACAGTGATTTTAACCCTAACGCCAAAAACCTTACCCTAGCCCCATAACCTAATACCCGGGTATAACCTTCAGGAAGACCGAACACCCCAAATATTTTTTTTTCATTTTTTTTTTTTTTTTTTGGTGTAACTATCTCCAAAATGTTGGAAAAGAGTTCCTACAAAGGTTTTGGACAGTGATTTTAACCCTAACGCCAAAAACCTTTAACCTTACCCTAGCCCCATGACCTAATACCCGGCTATTACCTTCAGGAAGCCCGAACACCCGAAATATTTCTTGTTCCTTTTTTTTTTCTTTTTTTGGTCTAACTAACTCCAAAAGGTTGGAAAAGAGTTCCTACAAAGGTTTTGGACAGTGATTTTAACCCTAACGCCAAAAACCTTAAACCTTACATTAGTCCCATAACCTTATACCCGGGTATTACCTTCAGGAAGCCCGAACACCCCAAATATTTCTTTTTCATTTTACAATTTTTTTTTTTGGTGTTACTAACTCCAAAAGGTTGGAAAAGAGTTCCTACAAAGGTTTTGGACAGTGATTTTAACCCTAACGCCAAAAACCTTACCCTAGCCCCATAACCTAATACCTGGGTATTACCTTCAGGAAGCCCGAACACCCCAAATATGTTTTTTTTCATTTTTCATTTTTTTTTTGGTGTAACTAACTCCATAAGGTCTGAAAAATGTTCCTAAAAAGGTTTTGGACAGTGATTTTAACCCTAACGCCAAAAACCTTAAACCTTTCCCTAGCCCCATAATCTAATACCTTCAGGAAGACCGAAAACCCCCAAAATTTTTTTTTCATTTTTCGTTTATTTTTGGTCTTAATAACTCCAAAAGGTTGGAAAAGAGTTGCTACAAAGGTTTTGGACAGTGATTTTAACCCTAACGCCAAAAACCTTAAACCTTACATTAGTCCCATAACCTTATACCAGGGTATTACCTTCAGAAAGCCCGAAAACCCCAAATATTTCTTTTTCATTCAACAATATTTTTTTTGGTGTAACTAACTCCAAAAGGTTGGAAAAGAGTTCCTACAAAGGTTTTGTACAGTGATTTTAACCCTAACGCCAAAAACCTTAAACCTTTCCCTAGCCCCATAATCTAATACCTTCAGGAAGACCGAAAACCCCAAATATTTTTTTTTCATTTTTCGTTTATTTTTGGTCTAAATAACTCCAAAAGGTTGGAAAAGAGTGTTACAAAGGTTTTGGACAGTGATTTTAACCCTAACGCCAAAAACCTTAAACCTTACCCAAGCCCCATAACCTAATACCCGGGTATTACCTTCAGGAAGCCCGAACACCCCAAACATTTTTTTTTCATTTTTCATTTTTTTCTGGTCTAACTAACTCCAAAAGGTTGGAAAAGAGTTCCTACAAAGGTTTTGGACAGTGATTTTAACCCTAACGCCAAAAACCTTACCCTAGCCCCATAACCTAATACCCGGGTATAACCTTCAGGAAGACCGAAAACCCCAAATATTTTTTTTTCATTTTTCATTTCTTTTGGGTCTAACTAACTCCAAAACGTTGGAAAAGAGTTCCTTCAAAGGTTTTGGACAGTGATTTTAACCCTAACACCAAAAAACTTAAACCTTACCCTAGCCCCAAAACCTAATACCCGGGTATTACCTTCAGGAAGCCCGAACACCCCAAATATTTCTTTTTCATTTTACAATTTTTTTTTTTGG